CTCTCTTCCTATCACTTCCTGCAGGTGTTTCTGGCTCTGGAGCTGTGGAGTCTGGATCTGTGGCTGCGGGTCGCCTGCTGCCCCTGTGTTCCTGCTCGGCATCCTCTACTGCAACAACTATTGTTACTAGTCCTATTGTTATTATTGTTATTATAATCATTAACATTACGATTGTTATCATTAAAACTACTATATATATCTGTACCATTATTCATTCAGTCTATAGCAACATCACCTTTACTGTCTGTACCTCTGTGTGTATATTGTGTAGGCTGCCTCCCTCCCCTCTCTCTCTCCCTGTTGTGATTTGGCGCTATATAAATAAAACTGAATTGAATTGAATTGAATTAAAAATGTCTAGTTCAGTGATTGGTTGTACTAAAAGACACTAAAGAGTCAGCTGTTAATTTTTTCTTAAGACTGTTTCGCTAACCAAAATTGACATCAAAATTAATATCACAGATGCACCTTATTAACCAAGCAAGGTCCACACATCTGGTTCCAAAAAGACAAGATGGCGACAGCCAAAATGCCAAACTCGAAGCTTCAAAACAGTAGTCCACAAACCAATTGATGAAGTCCTGGTGGCTACGTCCACTTCTTTTTTACAGTCTATGGTAACAAATCTACGGTAAAATCAGTATGTAAATGTATGGCTACATCACCAGCTAGCTTCCACTTGATATAGCGTTCTTGTTTTAGCTTTCTAGTTTGCTGTTTTGTTTGTAACAAAGCGCAGCACCTCAGGGTTTGCAATTTACATACTGTTGTTTTGACCTAATATGCAGTCACTAGTGGTTGAGTGTAACTAAGTACTTTTAGATTAGATTAGATTCTTTATTGTCCTTTTCAGGAATTTTTTCCCCCACCATCTACATATAAACACCATATGTACCAATTATTTTGGAGGCGTTGTTTGTGATGTATTGAAGTTTATTCCTATTGGGCACATTGAGTATGTTGAAATAACAGGTTGAACAGTAAAGGAGGATGGGTTGAATTACGCTTTTGTAGAGCAGCAGCAGAAGGTGGGTGGCAACAGAAAGGGATGTGAGTTTTCAGATGGAGAGTACTGTAATGTACTTCAGTACAATTCTGGGGTACTTGTACATTACTTGAGTATTTCCATTGTCTGCTACTTTATACTTCCTCTTCACTACACTTCAGAGATAAATATTGTACTTTACTGCACCACGCTTGTCTGCTAACTTTAGTTACTAGCTACTTTGCAGATTTAGACTAATAATAGAAAATATAACCAAAAAATAACTGACGTACTGATGTATTATCATAATTATAATACAGTGTATATACACACATCAGAGGGCACTAATTGGCGGACTGTGGTCAGGATTTGGTCCAGCCGCCATCCTCTCCGGACCTCCAACCTGCAGCCAATTTATTATTAATGTGAAAATTCTAGTTGAGAATTACTACCTCCTGACGGAGCGTTTCTATTTTAACCCGTGCAGCTTTTCTAGCATTTACTGTACTGGTTTAGCGACACAGGAAACTCACAGACAGATTGATTGATTGATCACTTCAAGCTACACTTTTTATTTCATTTTTTTCTCTAATTAAGCACTTTATTTTAGTTTACTTAAATTTAGAATTTATTATTAGAGTAGTTATTGTTTATTATCCCTCCAGTTTGATGTGAAAACTGTAAATCTTGTTGAAATATTATTTGATTTGACAGTCAGTTGTTGACTAAAAACACATGTTGATACAACTATACGTTATGGCACTGAATGATAACGCAAATTAGTTGTTATGACATTCCGGACCTATGCTTTGGGAAATTTTCTCTGCACAATTTTCTGGCACATTATTCAGAAACTGGCCATTCTGCATTTACAAAAATTACAGTAACATGTTAAATGCAAGAACATGTATTTCTACACTGTGGTATTGGGCTACACAAAATACAGAGCATAACAGAAATGCCTGCGTAAACAATGCAGACGATGTGAACGTATGTGCCTGCATGCATAAACACACACACACACACACACACACACACTTCTGTCTTGCCAGATCTTGTAGACGCAGACCTCTAATGCTGTGTGACTGCACTCCCCAGGGCTTCTTTCTGCTCCGCTGGATGAGCTCTGCTGCCTGCATGGAGAGAAATCAGGGATTCCCTACATTCGCTGGCTTCTCTACTCCTTTTATTCACCCATTTATTCCCCCTCTGGCCTCACGCTTGTGTGTGTGTGAGAGAGCTGTATAAAAGCTCGGTTATCATTAGGAAGCCATTCTCCCTGTGACAATGATAAAACTGCCTCAGCAGATGCAGCTATTGCTTATAGGAGCCAAATGAACCAATTTAGAAGCGTCACAATGACAAATAATAGTATGGCAAGATATCTTAGGCAGCAACGGCTTGTTGTTCGTGCAAAACAACCCAGAAATGTTAAATTTGTCAGGTCTTTTTTTACTGTTGTTGACACTAGAAAGAAAGCTCATACAAGAGATTGCTTACTTTAATATTACATCCACTTACAAGGCTTCATAATGAAGCTACTGATAATATATGAACTCATGGGTGTCATTTTCACTCATTAGTACAGCTGCTTGGTTTTAATTTACAGCTGTCTCCAGTCCAAAACACACAGACCTAATGCTCGCCAGTCAGGCTCAAGACTGATGGCTGATAGAAAACGCTGGCTAAATATTGTCTGTGGCCACTTTGTCAGTGTAAGCAGCCACTTTGGCTAGCAGCCACTCTGTCTGACAGGTCTATTAAACAGTTTGGTACCTTGAATTGGCCTCTTGAATTATCAGACCACATTGGCTGCTTAAACTGGTAAATAAAAATGTAACACTTGATGCTCAAAAACTGCAGTAAATGAGACTAAAGCCTGGTGTTGAATTAGTCCATTTGTTTGAATCTAAAGGGGTAAATAAAGTTTCAAAACATCAGAATTTCACCAGATATTACATGTATTAGTCAATTAATTGGTTATTTTGTGAACAGACAAATTAGTTTGATAACTGAATAATCATTTAAAGCATAGATTGAAATTTTGGGAAATCAGCTTATTGACTTCTGAGAGTTAGAGGAGGAGATTGATGCTGGACCAGTGTGTGAGTAGCTATTGATCTTTTCATCTAGCTGTCTGCAACATAGCAAACCATTTCCCAAACTAGACATTTATCAAGCAAAGATGTGAGAAATTTCAGCTTCTTAAATGAGAAGATTTGCTGCTTTTCTCTCATTTATATCAGTGTAAATAGAAAATCTTTTAACCGGTGGTCAGTTACATTTTGATATTATTGATTAACAATTAATTCATTTGGCGTTGAAAGGATTATTTGCTACATCACACGGTAAATTGTTAGAAAAAAATTAATAAATATAATTTCACACATTTAAATATTTGATATAGCTTCATCACACCAAATCGCATGAACTTCACCACCAGTGTCAACAGCTGTGGCAGTTAGAGCTACTTTGCTAAGTTAGCTACTGTTAGCAGGAGTTTAGCTGCGAGCTCACGCAGAAGTGTCGCTTCTCCTACATGTCTGGATGTAGCCAGTGCTTCACTTAGTTGCATGGAATAACAAGCTAAAATGTATTATTTGCAATAACAGTACAGGTAGCATTGGGTAAAATACAGAAGCCTAGGTCTATGTAAATTTAGTATTAGCTGGCTATATTTAGACTCGAATCTTTAAGTTATCTGTCAAACATTTCCTTGTTCCTCTTATAACCTAAGCTTATAAACTACAAGGATTTACTGCGTTTGTCTTATGTGATTGTAACTAACAGCTGCAAACACATAAGTTCAACAGTTCAGACTGTTGGTCGAACAAGACTATCGCTTGATTAGACTTTTTTCACTGTTTTTTGACATTTTATAGACCAAAGGATTCATCAAAATTTTTAGACTCATCCATAATGAGATTTAATAATTAGTTGCAGCCCTAATCATTTTAAAGTTGCAGCTGGTAGAGTTGTACTAACACAAATGTTTTTTTTTTATTTAACTTTTGGGTAGTTTAATGTAGGCCAGGCCTAGGCTAAATAACACGGAGTAGTATTTATGCTCAGTAGGATATTCGTCATCTTAATCTGCAAGGTAACTCTGGCTGTCAAATAAATGTAGCTTAAAAAACAAAATGTAATTTTGTAATGAATGAAAAAAAGGGAAAAAAATGTAATATAGCCCAGGGTGTAAGCCCAAACCCTCCTGTAAGGATTTCTTCAGGTACCTGAACCTGCTGACAACATCATCCCATTTCTTTTATCTTAAACCACAACGGGATCTCACACCTGGCATCAGTGTTTTCCCCAAAAGAGCCTCTGAGTATAGCAGCATCAAACCGAATCATAACATTGACTAATCTTAGGCACAAACCACCTCTGAATTGTAATCAGAGCGGCCAGTGTGTCTCTCCACTCCTTTATACTGAGCACTGATATCCAGCCCTGAAGACATGCAGCGACACACTATTACTGTTTGTCTGTCACCTTTTTGTTCCCTGAGAGGCTCTGGGATATCCTGATAAAAACTACCACAGACAAGGTCATCAGTAATTTCCAGCTGTAAAGACATATTATAGGACCTAAAACTGGTTTCTCTCCAGTCACTTTGCCTTTGAAGGTAATCAAACCCAGGTGACCACTGCCTACCTTGAACCTGACACATCATAGTCTCACCTGAGTTGACTGCAGGTTAATTTGCCGTCAAAACCAGCAGAGGCAACAAGAAACGACATAATGAGTTTTTTTGCTGCATTGCACCTGCCCTAACGCGCCTAACTTTATCCGGGAAGTGGCTGTCTAATGTGACTAATTCTCCGAGGTCGTGGTCGAGATGGTGGACAAACCCCCCCCCCACACACACACAACCAAAACAAGGAAAAGACACAAATAAAAATCTTTAACTGGAGACACGCGGCAGCGGCTGGCTGTGCCATATGCCAGAGGAAACACGGTGGTGTTTGGTGTCCCGCTGTGTTCCCGGTTGACCTGCAGAGCCGAGGTGTCTTACCTGGAGGCTGCGGACAGCGGAGAGGAGCCGGCAGGGGAGCACGGCAGGTTGAAGAGTCCGTCCGGGGATCAGAGACAGTGCGTGAGTGTCTCGGTGCGCCTCGGCACCGACTGAAGGCAGAAATCCACAGCCAGGGTGTTCCCGACAGGAGGGGGCGTGGTGTGTGTGTATGTGTGTGTGTGTGAGTGAGTGTGTGTGTGTGTGTGTGTGTGTGTGTGTGTGTGTGTGTGTGTGTGTGTGTGTGAGTGTGTGTGTGAGAGAGAGGCACGCAATCCTCACAAACAGGCTTATTTCTGACAATGCGTCAGTTGTTTCTGCTCAAACTCAGACCCCTGTTGTTTTTATGAAATACGCCAATTAAACTGGGTCACTAAGTGCATTTCACTGCAGTGCTGGGCTCGATATAGGCGCAGGGGAACTCCTTATTGTCACTGGTGGTACATTATGTATTATGTATTTCCCTGCTGAGCTCCTCTGGGAGTTTGTATTTCAGGTTATGGCCAGAGGAGCAGCCAGACTATTAGTTTATTTAATAGTGCTGCATGTAGCTAAAATGAATAGGTTGATCGTCTTGGACAAACATGGCAGTGGTGGTGACATGGGGTTGGGGGGTCACAATATCACAATAAGAGGACCATATTCCATATCAATAGCCCACAGCGTCTTTAGGCATTTAAAATAATCAGTGGGCTACAACTGCCCTTGCCTGTCTTTCTTTGTGGCCTCTTTTCTTGTAACAGTCACACATGGATCTCTGTTTTGTATGTGTCCTACTAGACACATCCCGTCTTTGCATGCCTCCTCTTTCAATAGCCTACATGGTTTAAATCACATATTCTCTGTTAGGGTGACTGTGATATAATTGTGATAGGCCTATAATAAGATGTTATTAATGTTCCCTGTCCATGTTAAATAAATACAAACTTTAATCTAGTTTTGTATGTCACATTTCATTACATCATCACAGGAACACAAAAGCACAGGTGAAACATATTATCACAGTTATTTTAGACATTTCACACAAAGTAACATGATTATATGTAAAAACAACAGTTTCACATAGATTAGCCTATATGTGAAACAACAAGAATTCCCATATGAGGTCTGTTTTTTTTATATTTTGCATTGGAGCCTATGTGGAAACATGATATCAGTTAATGTGAAGTCAAAGTAATTTGCCTTGTATGAATGATATTACCAGTTTAGACAGTAAATGTCCTGTTTCCAAAAGGTAACTCCATCCGTTTCACTCGTGGCATTACTGTGGAAGTCTTGAGTGAATAATTGGATTTTGTACAAGCGAGGGTTCAATTTGTTTTCATTTTATTTAAACTGGACTTGTGAGGATCTCTGAAGCTTCGGCCTGAGAAATAAAGACAGATATTTACAGTGTGTTTCAGACTCCCTGTGATGTTGACTCTGGCCTGGTGTTGCCTGTCTGAACTCCACCACAGTGAGGCGACATGTTAACACAGTCTGCAGCTTCAGGAGGCGCAGACGCGTCTTTTCTGCGCTCTTTGTCTCCGAACATCAGGAAGTAAACAGGAACAATAACGGAACAGCAGACGGACACCGGTGATAATAAAGACAAGAGACTTATACAAATATCGCTGTAGCAGTGTCAGTAGCGATGGAGGAATATAACTCTGGAGAGGAGGTAAAGACATTTTAAATTACATTTATTTAACTATCGAAAACACCACCGCAAAGACGCATCGGTTGGTTAACGTTAGCTAAATTTGCTAGCTTAGCATTTAGCTGAGGCTAACGGTGTTTTCACCGGGGTGTGGTCTTTATATTAACAATATTATTTATTACAGTCAGAATCAGCTAGTTACAGTGACAATTACATATTTATAATTTATTAAAATTAGTCAAATATAAAATAGTGGATTCTTAACTTAAGTACAATACTAATAACAAATAAATATAACGTTATGTAACGTTAGTTATAATCAGAAGAATGTGCTTGTTTTAAGTATTAAAAGTGAAAGTACTTAATGTAGAAAAAGGCCCTTGGACTGTTAATAATATATCATTAGGTTATTATTACTCATGCATTAAAGTGAAAGCAGGATTTCACTGTTGTAGTTGGTTGATGTGGATATTATTTTAACTATTTTATATAAGACTAACCTTAAAACTATTGATTATTTTCATTATGCGTTAATCTGCTGATTAAAATAAATTGAAATTTTTAAAACAAAATCTTCACAGTTGTGGGGTTGGGACCATGAAATGCTTGAAAAATGACTAAACCATTATCAAAATGGTAGTCAATAAATGTTTCTGTCTATCGATTATTTGATTAATCTTAGCACCAATCTTTTCAGCTGTACTTTACTTTTATAAGAAAACATCATCAACATGTACTTGTATAAATGCGTGTGGTAGTTTAATCTATAACAAAATTTCATATTTGATAAACTCTCATGTGTTTGTGTGTTAAAAGTTTGTAAAGTAACTTGTAAAGCTGTAGTGAAGTAAAAAGTACAATATTTCTCCTTGAGATGTAGTGGAGTAGAAGTACAAAGTGGCATCAAAAGTACTTAAGTACAGTACTTGAGTAAATGTACTTAGTTACTCTCCACTACTGCTAAATGTATTGAGGTGCTTCACACTCTGCAGGAGGGAATGGTAACCTACAGGGATAATCTTAGTGCCACAAAATAAGATTAAGACTGATTAAATAAAATTTTCCCCCAGGCTGCTGTTTTTGATTACGACTTTGTGTTAGGTTCACTCTTAGCAGTAGGAAAATAAATACCTTGCCTTTAGCTGCTTGGCTTAGTCAAATTTTACTATGCAGCTTGACGTTATTGACCAATGTTTACTTCTTCTCTTTGTTAGACCTGTGGATGTAAGCCATGTAAAATCATTAAACTTTGTCTTTCCAAATGTGTTGTGCAGAAATTGACTTATATATAGACACAGTCCTTTAGATAGTTTCTTTGTGCAATAAATAAATAAATAAAATACAACAATGGAGATGCCACTAACTAACCATGTTTTTGCTTTTTTTTAATTTCACTGCAGGTTCTCTTCAGTGCTGATGAGGCCAGTACGTCAGTTAAAGAGGTACCTTTTTCATCCTTTGAAACATGAATAACTTGTATTTTATTATGAATCCACCCTTTGCTGTGAAGACAGTGTACATGGTGTTCTCTGTGTTTGGTTTTTGTCTCAGTGTATTGAAGGTGTTCTTGGTGGAGCAGATTATAACCAGAGTAAAGTGAATCAGTGGACGGCCAGTATAGTGGAGCACTCTCTGACTCACCTGGTCAAACAGGGACGGCCGTTCAAATACATAGGTTAGCCAACTGCCCATCGTTTACAATAACACGAGTTAATAATGTTGGCACGACGTAAGCTCGTAAACATGTGACTGAGTAACACTGCTCCCTGATGTTTTGCAGTAAACTGTACGATCATGCAGAAGAGCGGCGCTGGTCTTCATACAGCCAACTCCTGCTACTGGGACACAGCCACTGACGGTGAGAGATGACTTATAATTGGAGCTGGTATCATTGATACCAAAACAATGCTTTTTGCAATATTTTACTTTGTTGTGTTTGTCTACACTCATATTTTAATTTAATAAGATGAGCCAGAATTCTGAAATGTGAAATCTCATCTAAACACAAGCTGTTGTACAAGTTCTTTTCGTAAATAAAATGATCTTAAATTAGCAAAATTATTATTTAAATCAGGAATTATCTGATAGATAAATAAGTTAACAAGATTATGAATCAGAGCAGACATTCAGTGCCAGTTTCTGGTTCTTGACAAATTTCTGTTGGTCCCAAAAAAGTGTTTATCTGATACGTAGCCCTTCTTTTAATCTTTTAATAGAGATTGACAAATTGTCCAAGCCAATTTTAGCTCATTGCAAATACACTCATATCAGTAAACTCAAAATGATTGTTCCAAAATAAATAACAACTACTGAGTGAAAGCCAAGATCAGTTTCACCGGTGATGTTCTGTTTAGTGTTTACTGTCGGGCATCACTAAAAAACAAATAGCAACCACTATTAATTGGAGAAAATAAACTTCGTAAGAAAGTCATGCTCTTCATAACAAGAGGGTTCTGTTAATATATCAGAATCAATCAAGTGTTAATGTGACATAGATGTTACAGTGTGAAGCCTATATTTGTTCAGCAGGAACTAAATACGCCTTTAAAGAGGTGGTATTATGCTTTTTGGCTTTTTCCCTTTCCTTTATTGAGTTATATTTTTTTTTTGTGCATGTAATAGGTTTGCAAAGTGAAAAAGCCCAAAGTCCAACCCAAAGGGAGTTCCTATCTCCCACAGAAAACGCTGCTCTGAACTGCCTGAAAACAGCTCGTTTGTAGTCCAGCAAAATGCGCGTCATAACGCTCGCCAAGCAGCAAGTCCGACACACTGGTGGAAAAACAGTGAGCTGCAGTACACATCTCTCCCTTCCAAACACTAGCTACCCTCCAGGCAGTCAATGGACATAAAGTTGTTACTGTGATGTAGAGACTGAGCTCAGTTATATCTTGGATGGAAGTATCTTTCATCCATAGTTAGTTATAACTTTAACTCACCACTCAGAAACGGTTGCGCCAATCCTGCTGTGTCATTTCTCCTGCTTATTTGTCTTGTTCAGGAAGCTGCACTGTCAGGTGGGAGAACCGCACCATGTACTGCGTGGTCAGTGTGTTTGCTGTCGCCGTGCCTCTGTGACAGCAGCACCGAGCTGCGCCGCGCTCTCTCTCTCCCAACACCGTCATGTGTCCGTGACCAAGAAGCCATGGAGATCCTCTAATGATACCCTCTGTTCATATACGAATAGCTTCTGTGTCCACACAGGCCAGAACATTCAACTTCAGGATACGAGTTGTGGTTTTGTGAGTCGACAGCCTGCGTTGGTGTGACTGTGAGAAAATGTTGCTTTGTAGAGGACCAGGATCAGAGTGCAACTCTGAAGCAGTACTTTGTTAAGTAGTTACACTTCAAACATCGCATTTGCCCCAAATGTTGTAATCTGTGCTTTATGTAAAACTTGATTAGGTTTTAGTCATGCTAGCAGCAAGGCTCTGGAGATGTTGGTCTATCAGTCACTACCGAAACATCTCACCAACTATTGGATGGACTGCCATGAAATTTACTACACACATTATTAAAACCCCACCCAATGCTTTGGTTTATGACCAAATAGCAGCAGAATTAACAACATTCCCATCAGCCTTAGTTGAACTTTAGTAAACATCACCAGGAAGAAGCTAAAAATTGTTTAGTGCTAATTAGTGTTAACACTACACCTGCTAATCATCAGCATGTTAACATTATCATTGTGAGCAGGGATGGGAAAAAATACATCAAAATGTATTTCAAAATAAGATACCAAATACTGTAATTTAAATTGTATCAAAATAAACTGTATTATTGTATTTCAAAAATACTCAAAACACTTTTCCAAGGTACAATGAAAAGTGTTATAACTTATATCTATCAGCCTTCACCACTACACTGACTCAGATGATCAGGTGGACATTGTTGGGTCATGTGATAAATCAGACATGCCACCAGGTAATTGATCAAATATTGACATATTCCTGTGATCACGCAGATAAAGATTAGTTTTAAAGTAACAAACAGTTTCATGTTTATCTAACAGTTGGCTCAAACGCTTTTTTATTTTTTATTTATTACAACCGATGAAAACTGAAACTGTGGGGGCTTCTACCCGGGTCACAAAATTAGCTAATAGAAAATGATTTAGCCTAGGCTAATAAAATGAACATGGACGCTTAACAGGAACTGTTAAGAATTGTGTCAATTTATGCTAAAAGGGATGGAAAGCAATGAAAACCCACACGTTTCCCACCTCGACCTTCTTCTGCAAATTACTGAGTAAGCCAATCAGTGGCAGGATTGTTATGATGTCATCACATAGACTTCTCACATATTTTACTGTATTTTTAAAACTACAAAATACAAAACACTTAAATATTTTGATACAAAATATGAAGCAATTTTCATCATCCCTTTCACATACAAATTACAAAATCTTGTTTTGTCATTTTAAATACATGTACCATAAATACTGCCCATCCCTGATTGTGAGCATGTTAGCTCATAGATGTTAGCATTTAGCTCATAGCAATGCAGTAAAGCCTCACAGAGCTGCTAGCATCGCTGTGGACTCTTAATCTTGTTTTAATTTGTCTCCTTCACTACATTCCCAAATAAAACTGAATGAACTTGCTGTAGTAAAAAGTTTGGTATTTAAGAAAAATCTGACTGTTGTGTTTTAGTAGGTAGACACTTACATAAAGTATAAAGTGCCTTTCCTTGTGTGCATTAATATTTAAATGTTTTACATTGGTCTGTGTCTGTAATTGCATATATGAGTGTGTTTTCAAGATGGAGGATGGTCCCAACGAGCACTTTTCCTAGACTTTCTCTCTAGAAATCCTGGGTTCTTCTGTGGAACTGTGTTGAGTCCATGAAGGCTGTTTAATAGGTTAAATTGTCAGAATGTCTACAGTGTAGTCATGAAATGTATTTAATAATTCAGTTTATCTCTACAAACCACAATGGAATTGGATATGTTATACAGATTGACACAAAGGAAAATGCTGCTATTTTGCAGTTTGGGAGTTCGTCCACTGGAGGTCAGCCCAGGACAGTGTGCAAGATTTTATTTTTTTTGTTTTTTATTGACAAATATTCCATATACAAAAACATGGCATTGACTTGTTACATACTGCAGAAAGGATCAAGTGCATATCAAAGATAGGTGAAAACAAAAAGAAAGGAAGATAAAAGAAGTTTAAATAAAGGAAAACGGCTAGGGTTTTTTTCCCAAATCATATTCTGCTATAATACTAAAAAGTCTCGTTGCATTCTTTGTTTTCATAACATTAAGGGCTTTTGTAAAGGAAAGAAGCTCATTATGAAATACACAAAACTTAGGATTCACTTTCAAAAACTTTGACTTGTGAATATAAAATTTCCCGAGAATGACAAAGTTAATCAGAAAGTCTTTGTTGTTGTCCATGGCACAACCATAGATAATGTCCTTCAGAGAATGGATGGATACACACCGGTAAGAATTTTAAAATGGATTTCTTTGGGGAATATAGGGAATTTTAAATATTTGGTTCATAACGAGTGAATGGTACATGTAGTGGCTATCTTAATTGTTCGTAATTATAAGCTTCAACTAAACTTACTTCTATCATAACCACATTGTATGAACGACGTAAGATAATTTTACGCGTTGAGTTGGCCCGTAGAGAACCAACGACGGTAAAACAACCGTGTTGCTCCGCCGTCCACACTCGTTTATTGTTTTCCTTCCTTACCGCTTCCTTCAAACTTCAAAATAAGAGTTCCAATACAGAAATTGCACCGAAATACCAAAATAAACACAAGAATGACAGAGTAACAAATGTTATAACATAAACAAACTTGCTACTAATAAATGGTGCTTACATTCCGGCCCCTAATTGTTAATTCTGCAACTTAACAATTACGTCTTTGAAATTAAAGCATCATTTCTCTCAGAATTAAGGATTCATCACTTGCACAAACAAAACTTGTACTTAACCTTCTTAACCATAACAGTATATTTCAAATCTACATTCAAGTGAACTCAAAATGCACTTATAACATGTATCAACATCTTGCCTTATACAAAGGTATACTTATGGCACATATAACCTAAAAAATGCCTTCACTTAGTTTACTCCTCCATTTCAAGCAACACACATAATTTATGTATTGGCCTTTCCAAAATGCTAGATTTAGTTTTGACAAATACACATCTCACAATCCCTTTGAATCAGAAAGTGTCCGTTCAACTGTTCCTACCAACCAGGAACTTCTTGGTGCACTGTCATCAACTATAAGGACAACATCTCCTGATTTCAGATTTCTCCTTGTTACTGTCCACTTCTGCCTCTCTTGCAACAGTGGCAAGTACTCTTTAGTCCATTGCTTCCAAAAGATGTCAGACAGGTACTGCACCTGTTTCCACCTCCTCTTGCCATACAAGTCCTCTCTGTCAAACAGTCCTGGTGGCAGCACAGGCTGGCCTTTAAGGAGAAGCAAATGGGTAGGTGACAGTGCCTCCAAATCATTTGGGTCACTTGACACTCTTGTTATAGGCCTGTCATTAACAATTGCCTCGACTTCACACAACAATGTATGAAGACATTCGTCGTCGAGAGGCTGCTGTTTCAGAATATGGTTGAGGATTTTCCTCACAGAACGTATCTGTCTCTCCCAGATGCCACCAAAATGTGAACCTGTTGGCGGGTTGAACATCCAGGTAATGCCCCTTTGCATGAACATTTCTGAGATTTTTGAGTGGTTCCATCTTTGAATTGCCTCACGCATTTCTTTCTCTGCTCCCACTAGATTCGTTCCATTGTCTGATCTCACGACAGACACTTGACCTCTCCTAGCAACAAATCTCCTGAATGCGTTTATGCACGAGTCAGTTTCAAGTGTGCTGGCAACTTCGATGTGAATTGCTCTAACAGTGAGACAGGTGAACAATACACCATACCTTTTTACTGTACTTCGCCCACGTTTCACTTCGAAGGGCCCAAAATAGTCTATGCCCACATTAGTGAAGGGTGGCTTGTCAGGCATTAGGCAATCTTGTGGCAAATTTGCCATCCTCTGTTCTCCAGGTTTTGCTGAAATCTTTTTACATGGTACACACTTTGACAATATTTTTCTAACAGCAGAGTTTGCTTGCGGGATCCAGAATCTCTCTCTCAGCCAGGATAGCATGTAATTTCTCCAACAATGTCCTGTTTCTTTGTGGATATGTCTGAGGATCAACGTGGAGACATGATGATCTTTAGGAAGTATCACAGGATGTTTGATATCTGCTGGCAGTGCAGACCGATGCAATCTTCCACCAACCCGTAAAATCCCGTCTTGGACAACAGGATCAAGCTTGACAATGTGACTGCTTCCTTTAAGTCTGTCACCTTTCTGAAGAGCTATAAATTCATCACTAAAGCATTGATTTTGACAAAACTTGATAATCTCAACTTCTGCCGTAACAAAATCTTCAGTGGTGAGCAAAGACCCCTTGACAGTTGACTTGAACTGTTGCATTCTGTGTGTAACCATTTCAGTTTTCTTCTCATGACTTAAATGATGACTTAATTGTGACGTGATAAGCTTGCGGTGTGCGCTCAGATTTTGAAGCAGTTTTTTAACCTTCATGATCCATGAAACTGCCCTTTTTAAACAATGCCACTCTGAATAATAACAAATGAGCTTGTTAAGTGGATTCTCATGCATGTTGATGACAGTTACACATACTGCTTCTTTCACTTCAGCATCATCTTTCTGTATGTCTTTCATGTCTGGTGAAACTGGCCAGTGTTTCCTGTCCTTTGTCAAAAACTCTGGCCCACCAATCCAGCTTTGACACGTTTTGAATGTTTCTGCAGGCATTCCTCGTGACGCGTGGTCAGAGGGATTCAACTCTGAATTAACATACATCCACTGACTTGGCTCTGTGTTGTCTATAATGAGTGACACTCGGTTTGCAACAAATGTTTTAAATCTCAGATTTTCACTGGCGATGTACTTTAACACTGTAGTACTATCACACCAAAACACAGATTCTTCAAGCTGCATGTGCAGCTCCTTTTAGTCGATCCATTTTTACAGCAACAGCAGCCGCTGTCAGCTCCAGCCTCGGAATTGTTGTTTGTTTCAACGGTGCCACTCTGGACTTGCCGATGATGAACGAACAGTGAACTTTTCCGTCTTTATTTGTCATGCGAAGGAAGTAAACAACTCCGTAACCTTTCTCACTCGCGTCTGCGAAATGATGCAACTGCGCAGATGTCATGGTTCCAAAGCCAGTCGGTTTCAGACATCTATTCACGGTAAAACCATGAAGCCTTGTCAGGTCTGAAAGCCATAACAATATCCTTTGAGCCAGTTCTGCAGGGATGTCTTCATCCCAGGTGACTTTCATGCCACACAGCTCCTGCAAGATCATCTTTGCTGGAAGAATGACAGGTGACAGAAACCCTAAAGGATCATATATCGCACTTACAAATGAGAGGATACCTCGTCTTGTCTGTGATGCTGGTTTTGCATTTATCCTGACCTTTGTACGTCTGACTCACTACACCAGGTCACTCCTAGTACTCGCTCCTCAGGTAATGCATCATGACTAAGATCCAAGTCTTTGACCTCTTTAGCCCTTTCTGTATCAGGAATGGAAGCAAGAACAACTCTGCTGTTGCTCATCCACTTCGTTAAGTGAAATCCTCCGCTCTCACACAGTGCTGTCAAGTCCCTGACCATAGCACATGCTTGGATTTCATCTGACACTGACAACAGACAGTCGTCTACATAAAAATTGTCCAACACTGCTGCAACTGCAGCAGGAGCCATGTTTTCCTTAGCATCTTCAGCCGTCTTCCTCAGCGCGAAGTTTGCACAGCTGGGGGAGGATGTGGCCCCAAACAAGTGAACCACCATTTTGTATTCTTGCAGAGGTTTTGTCAAGTTTCCCTCCAGCCACCAGAGGAAGCGCAGCAGGTCACTATCCTCAGGTGGTACACGTACTTGGTGGTACATAGCTTCTGTGTCTGACATTAAAGCTACATGATCTTGCCTGAATCATGTTAAAACCCCGATTAGTGAGTTAGTTAAATCTGGACCCTGAAGAAGCTCTCTGTTTAGTGACTTGCCTTGATATGATGCTGCACAGTCAAAAACTACACAGAGCTTTCCTTTTTGGGGATGGTAAACCCCATGATGAGGTATATACCAGACCCTCCCATTGTCAGACTGGGTCTCTTCATCTGGTACCGGGACAGCATGGCCTTTGCTCAACAGGTCAGACATGAAGCTTTGATATTCACTGTGAAAGTCTTTGTTTTTGACAAGTTTTCTTTTCAGGTTTTCTGCTCTCTGCACAACTACACTGCGGTTGTTAGGCATCTTGACGTATCTGTTTTTCAGGGGAAGTCCTATGGTATGGTGACCATCAACACTTTTTGCTGTTTCACTAACACAGTCCATAAACTGAACGTCTTCTCTTGATATTTCCTGTTTTTCCTCACTGGCCTTTTCAGGAAAATCATGATTAAACTGCTGTACCAACAGGTTCTCCACACTAGCAATAGAAATGCGATTCACAGAAACACTGGGAATACTCTCAGATGCAGTGTTGCAACTGTCTCTCCTGAGAGGACCATTGATGACCCAACCCAGGATTGTTCGAACTGCATATGGACCATTATCCTCACTGTGAATTACTTCCCATGGTTCCATAGCCTTGTGCACATCACATCCTATTAAAAGTCCAATGTCTGCATCTATGTGTGGAAGCTGGATTCCTTGCAAATGTGGCCAGTTTTCCAAATCTTCAGGCACTGGAATGTACTCTTTGGACACAGGAATATCTTTGTGGGTGTAGATCTCAGGTATGTCAATGTAAATGTTCTCTTTCAAACCACACACCTCTAGTCCTTTAATATGGTAGCTTGACTCCAACTTTTCCTGTCCCATCGTGCGAAGCAGGATTTGAGTACTCTTGCCTTCCATGTTGAGCTCTCATCAAGCTCTCTGTGCAGAAAGTGGCTTGACTTCCATTATCCATGAATGCATAAGTCTGAATGATCTTATTGCTCTTCTTTGATTTGACACACACCGGTACAATCAACAGCACACAACTGTCTTTTCCGGCCCCAGTAGCTCCACAAATTTCACCTGAAATGTGAGCTATTGCACCAGTCTCTGTGTTTTCGGCAGTGTCTTTCTGCCTGTTTTCTGCAGCTACATCATCCTTTTCTTTTGAGAAGTGGAGCATGCTTGGATGTTTCTTAGAACAATATTCACATGAAGCTCTTTTCTTACAGTCTTTGCTCAGATGTCCTTGTGTCAAGCATGCAAAACACAAACCCTTTCTGATTTTGTGACATTCTGCAAGTATGTGTTGTTTTTCACAATATACAAAAGGCTTCTGGAAGGCACTGATGTTGCAATGGAATGAGTTTCTACCATTATCTGGTGGCCTTTCAATTGCTGTAGGTGCAACACTTGTAGCAAATGCACTCCCCTTTGGCCTGGATGATTTTGTCGCTTTCACATTTACATTATATTTTCCCTTATCTTCAGCATCCTTTATGTCACCGAAAACAGGATCCACAGCTATTTTAGCTTGTCTGTTTATGAACATGACTAAATCTGAAAACTTTGCTCTTGTACCACGTTTTTCTTGAATGTCAAATGCAGAAACTCTCGACATTTCTCTCATTTTGTACGATAACTTGGAGACAATGTTTCTGAGGTTAGTGGGACTGTCCATTTCTGTAAGTTGGGTAATGTCTTGTGTGGCGTTGTTACATCCAGTGAGGAACAAAGAGTACCTCTGAAGGGCCTTGCCGTCATCTGGTTTTATTTGTGGCCAGGTGAATGCTCTACTCATATAGGCAGTTGCGATTTTTAGTTCACTGCCATGGTGATAAGTTAGCAACTTCCACGCCTCACTATAAACTTGATAGGGATATGCTGGCAACTTCTGACTAAGTCCCTGGGTTCCCCTCTGGTAAACTGCTCTAGGTAATATAACCTGTCACTGTCACTATCAGCTTTGGCTTGAATGGTATGATCAAATGCTCTTATGAAAGCTTTGAACTCAAGTGGATCACCACTGAAAAGAGGGACATCTCTCTGGGGCAAATGTGACAGTCTTTGCTGTTTGACTAACATCTCAGTGATATCATTTTGTTTCAACATTACTTCATACAGATTTACTGGACTTCTGTTAACATTAGATTGTGTGTCAGTTTCTTGTTTCACTTGAAGATCATCTGCCTTTAATTGACCAATGTGCTCATAATTTATCATAGGCTGTTGGTTATGTAGCTGTGGCATTCCTGGTAAGACAGTCTCAGGATGAATTCCTACATCACCTTTGCAGTTGTCATACTCACTGTTTTCCAACACTTGTATTTTTGCTGTAGAAGCAGCAATAGCTATCTCAAGCTCAAGTTGTTCCTTCTTTGCCTTTAATTTGCATTCTTCGATGTCCAACGCCTGCCTCTGTTTTAGTGATGCTGCACGTGCAAGTAAGGCAGCACGTTCTGCTTGTTCTTTCTGTCGCACCGATGATATGGATGAGACTTTGGATGATCTTGAAGAGCGGCAACTAGCTGAGCTCGTTGTGCTTTTATCTGCAGACTTCCTCTCCGCTGGTGTGGCAGCCACAGACACGCTGTCATCCAGATTCACATCCTCCTGATGTTGTTGCCTTGATGTAGCTATCCATGTTTTAACATCAGTTATGAAAATGCTGAACTGTTCCATTTTTGGCTTGAACCAATACATCTGATCAGCAGCTTACAGTAGATTTTGAGAAAAATTGGGAAATTGAGTTTCTAAAGGATTGTAGGGTATGAGATGTTATCAATCAAATTCCTAACTGTTTTGTTAGGGATTTTAACCTTATTAAAGACAATTCCTCCAACTAAAAGTACGGGGAGAGAAGGGGTGACAGGAGTGGGGTTCATTAACATTCCATTAGTTATGGAGTTAAAATGATTACGATTGGCAGTGAGGTCTTAGACAGAAGTTCTCATATGACATGAGATAACCCTCACTGTCTACTAAATGGATCACAGACTAAATACCCTTATCCATCCAGTCCTTGTTGTACAGCGATTTGTTTTTGACCGTAATATATCTATTATTCCAAATTGGGGAGTTATGAGGGGTGAAGTTATGATTATATAGGAGTTTCCAATATAACAAACCCTGCTGGTGAAAAAGGGATAGTTTAATTGGAAGTCTTTGAATAGTGAAATCACACTTTAGTAAGAATTCTATACCTCCTAATTTCTCAAAGTTTTCTGGGGATATGATACCAAAAGTTATTGTTGTTCAGAAAGGATTTTAACCAATTAATTTTTAAGGTTCCATTCATAAAGTCAAAATCAATAGCTTGCAGGCCACCATCCTTAAATGTTTTGGTCATCTCTGTTTTCTTAACATAGTGGACTTTCCTTCTCCAAATATAGTCAAAATTGATTTGGTTGATCTTTTTAATAGCTCTATTAGGAATAGCAACTGAGTATGCAGGATAAATACACCTTGAGATACTTTCCATTTTAGTCAAAAATATACGGACCAATAAACTAATATCTCGTAACATCCATGAGTTAAGTCTACTTCGGCATTGCTCTATTACTTTCCACATGTTCAGGTTTTCACATTCAGTCAAATTTTTTGAGATATGTATACCCAAGTATTTAACAGTGGACCTAATAGGGACATTGTGTGCTTCAGTCAAATCATAAGCATGAATAGGCATTAATTCACATTTGGTCAGCCAGCTGGCTGATGATAATTGGACTACCGAGAACATCCAATGGCGCGTTGTTAGAATTTTTAATGAAAATAGAGAGCATTTCAGTCGCTATTATAAAGAGAAATGGGGAAAGAGGGCAGCCTTGCTTAACCCCACGTTTGACTGTAAAACGGGGAGAAGTACCACTTGGTAAGGAGACGGAGCAATTAGTATTATCATACAGGGATTGAATAACGTTTTGAAAATTATTACCAAAACCAAATAATCTTAGACAGTCACAAATAAACGGGTGTTCAATTGACTCAAAAGCTTTATAAAAGTCAAGGAAAAAAATAAAGCCATCATCTACAATTAATTGTCTGTAGTCCAGAAGGTCGAGCACTAAACGAATGTTATTATGAATGGATCTGTTCTTCATGAAACCAGATTGAGAGTCGCTGATGATTTTGTGTAGATTTGTTTTTAATCTGTTAGCATAGATAAGGGTTACAATTTTGTAGTCGGTGTTCAACAAAGTTATAGGTCTAAGATTGTCTATTATTTTAGGATCCTTGCCGGGCTTTGGGATTAAAGTAATTATACCTTGTTTCATGGAAGGGGGAAACGTAAAATGCCTAATTGCCTCTTTTAACATAAGAAAAAATGAATCTTTTAGTAAGTCCCAGAAATGTTTATAAAAATTGGTTGTAAGGGGTGATTTGTTTAAGGACAAACATTCTACTGCTTTATCGAGCTCGTTTAAAGTCAAATCAGCATCGCATAACTCTGCAAATTCATCGTCTATGTGGGGGGATAAAATCCTTGATATGCTGAAAGAAGGAGTTAGCATCATTAAAAGAAAAGTCAGACGAATATGATTTAGATTAGAAAGAGACTATTTCCTTGGCAATCAAGGCAGTATCTGTAATTACTTGGTTATGAATCAATAAAGCATTGATTGAATTCCTCTCCTGCCTTCTCTTTTCTAAACGACAAAAGTATGATGTGCTCTTTTCTCCTTCCTCAACCCATTTCACCCTGGATCTGATATAAGCCCCTTCAGCTTTTCTAAGATAGACTTTGTCAAGTTTAGTTTGCAGAGTAAGTAATGCCAGTTTATCACTGTCAGAAGGTGGTGTCTTATTGGAGTAAGTGTTTATTTCTTTAATAATGTTAACTTCTTTAGTTTGTTAGACCTGCTGTGAGATTTTCCAAAGTGTATAGAGTATTCCCTAATTTTAAATTTCATAAAGTCCCATTTTAAAACATAAGATGGCACAGAAACATCAGTCATCACATCTGAAATTATGGTTTTGATACCCTCATGAAATGATTGGGATTTAAGAAGACTAGAATTGAATTTCCAGTACCCTTTGTTTCTGCGAAGCGCACCAGGGGGATTACACACAAGCTTAATGACAGAATGATCTGTGAGAGGAGCAGCTGACATACTGCAGTCAGAAACAGAGTCCATCATAGAGGGAGAGACTAACCAGAAGTCTATTCTAGACTTTGCTTTATTGTTTGGTTTGAACCATGAAAATTGTTGGGAGTCAGGGTATTTAAGGCGCCATGGATTCAATAGGTTGTGGGTACCACAAAAATCAGAAAGGATTGGGTTAAAAGAGCTGTTTTGACATTTGGGAGGATATCTATCAAGACATTCATCGTTAACCATGTTAAAATCGCCCCCCATAATTATATTTGCAGCAGGATAAGTTAACTTTAGGTTTTCAATAGCAACAGAAACATCCAAAATAAACTGTTTTGATTTGGGTTATTGAAGCCATAGACGTTGACAAGAATACAGTACTGCTCATCAAAGCTCAGGACACAGATTATCCAATGACCATTGTTACTTCTTCTTGAGGATACTAATTTACCCGGTCAGTAAGAAAATAAAATAGCTAAGCCTGCTGATTTAGTGGAACCATGATCAAAAAGAATTTGGTCACCCCATTGGTTTATCCAGAATTTTTCATCCACCAGTTTTGAGTGAGTTTCTTGTAGCAAAATAAAATTAGCTTTTTCGCCCTTACAAAATAAAAATATTGATTTTCTTTTTGTGTTATACCTTAGGCCCCTAGCATTAATTGAAATACAAGAAAAAACGACATTCATTCTAAGAACAAACAAGCAAACGCTAGAAAAAATGAACTTCAACTAACTGTAATTGAAGAAAAAGGAGGCCTAAGTAACAGGCAGTGTCCCTTTTAATGTCCAGAAGTCAATCTAAACCATCCAACCCGTTTGTTACAAACAAGAAGTACTTCAATTACATTTTCACAAGTATAGGCAATATACCTTGTGTGCCGCTGCTAAGTAATTCTCTGTCCGTTGATATAACCAGCACCACCTTTGAATTAAGCCCTTTTTCCGGCTGCTCTCGCTTGTTGTATCTGTGGCCACAGCATCGCTCGCGACTCTTTGTCTGCCTTACAGAGGTCTTCGATGAAGCCGCTCCCTGCAGATAGCTGAATCTTTGGTCATCTTCCACAGCGCGTCTCGGTGTGTTCTTTGGGTGAACTGGACGATGAAATGCCTCGTTTTGTTTTCCTCGCGTCGTCCCAGCCGAGTCCACGATGTAGTTAATGTTTGGAGCCCATGATGTAGAAACCGCTTCACGAGTAACTTCACCTTCTTTTTCTTTTATCCCACGAATCCTGAGGTTCCAGCGGCGCTTGTAACGCTCGAGGTCTAGGACACGCTCTGTTAGCTCTTCCTAGGTTTTCTTCACTGATACTTCCCGCTCAGTGGTTTGTAGGTGAGTTTTGCAATCCTTGATTTCAGCAGCGTTGAATTCGACTGCTTTAGCAATGCTAGTTAGCATGACGGAGTTCTGGTGTATCTGGGAAACGACTGTATCCACCTTGTCAGTAAGCAGCTTAATAGCTTCTAAGACGGAAAACATACCTTCCGAACTTCTATCCCCGTGTCTTTCTTTTTGGAAACTGGTGGGTTCTTTGCCGGCGAGAATGGGTCTTTAAAAGTGGGACAAGCAGACAGAGCTTAGAGATAAGCGTTCACCTGGTCCGCCATCTTGCCCGGCAGCCAGGACAGTGTGTAAGTGCTTAAAAGAAAACACAATTTTCACATATAAATATAAATTTATTTAGATATTTCTAGCAGGATTTTATTTTTTAAATGCCTTTTGATCTTGCTCTGTATGATAATGTTTATTTTAGGTTTTTCAGTTATTTATTTTTTTGGCTTAAAAGGTTTCATGTCTTATTTGTACAAACATCCGGATACTGGAGGCTGTCATCCCTCTGAAGGTACATTGCAAAAAAAGAATTAGTGCAAAAACAAAGACATTCTCCCACACACTTCAAAGGTTGAAAATAAGCAAAAATACTTTTTACAATTGTGGACATTTTTCTATTCTATATAATGTATGTGTGTAATTATTTTGTAACTAATGAGACATACAGACGCAGAGCTGACAGACATAACAAGCTTGAGTTAGAAAACTACAAATGCATCCAAACAAAGCATTTCACATCACTACAGCTGCTGCAGCTGCTTAGCAGTTGAATCAAAGCCACTTAAAATCCCTTTTGTAAACGTGCAAAAACATTACACTTGGAGATGTCCGTGCTTTACAGTAACGTGTTTGGTGATCGAACAGGCTCTTAACAATGTATGGAGAGTCACGTCTCATCACGTCTCAAGCAAAAATACATCACAGAAGCAGCACATATTAATGATAAAGCTCTTATCGAGGAGTAAAAAAGCTTGTTGCTTGCAGCCATAAAACTATGGGGGTGTTCAGGGAAAAACTGTACAAATCAGACCCCCCTCCCCTGCGGAATAACTGTTACACCTCATCTGAGGCTCCACACATGCATACCTCCATTCTAAAAGGGATACTAAATACAATCAGTTCAAATGCATGGCTCCTTGTGATCAATAATGCAGCATATAAGTGGACACAGTCGCAAAACTAAAAGAAGTAATGTTGGTGTCCATGTGTCTTTGATTGTAAATAAAGGCTGCAGGACGACAGGTCAGGACGTTGGCTGATGACACGGGTGAGCACCAGCTCTATAGCAAGTGAAACACTGCGCATGTTTGCAGCCAGAATAGATCTAAAATTAAGGACACATTTGCTTCACGTGAGAGTAATATTTAGTGGTAGAAAACGGAGTCGAGATGGATGTATGAAAAGTGAGATTAAAAGTGTAAACTCAACTCACACATGGGGATTCGTGTGGCACTTAAAAGGTTACAGAGGGTATGAAAGCTGTCACGGTCGTTCCTCTGCATGGCAGGTCCAACAGTTGTGATGCTTCAGGCATTGCAGGATACAATGTGGCCAATGTCACCGTTGATTCCACCAACTATATTATTGCCCATTTCATTAGGAGTGTCATAGATTGTATCATCAAGCATGTCGTACGTTGTGTCGTTAGGGATGTCGTCTGTGGTGTCGCTGGCTGTGTCGTGGACTCTGTCATTCGCTGGTTCTTTGTGTGTGGTCGGGCTCGACGGCTCCAGGACAGACTTTCCCATCGGCCTGTTCTGTGGCGAATCAGAGTTGCACATGAGGCAGAGAAGAGAGGAGCAGTCCCAAAGGCCCTGGGTCATGCTGGAGGAGAAGAGCCTCCGACACGGGTGGCAGAACTGGTAGAAGACCATCATGAAGAAGATGGCGATGGCGTAGGCAACCAGCAGCTGCAGCACCAGCAGCGGTGCACAGATGAAGTTGTAAAAGTCTGTTTTATAGATGTACCACAGCAGAAGCAGCGAGGCGTTCTCCACAAAACGCAACATATAGTACACGGCCATGCGGTACCAGTTCTGGGACTTATTGATGAGGTCCGGGTCATTGAGTTTCACCTGCACGGCTGACCAGCAGAACATGTTGATGCCGGCGTAGAGGAAGGTGAGCAGGCAAAGCACGATTGTGGTTCCCACCCTGGTCAGAGTCTTTTCGATATTCTCAGGGAACGGCGAGTGGCTCTGCCAGAACAGGATCCAGGGGTATAGGAAGAAAACCAGGAAGTTAAGAAGAACCACGGGCAGGACCCAGAGCTGCAGCACAGAGCTGAACAGAACCAGAACCACCACACGAGTGGCGATCTCAAAGCTTCTCCACAGGAAAATGCAGAGATAAGCCATGGGCCGGACGTCCACTTCATAGTCATCATATTTGATCTTAATGGCCAGGATGTTGCAGCGCAGCGCTCCATACACAATAGACAGGAGGGAGATCACCATCAGTGTGCCTGACATTAACAAACACAGAGAAATATGAGGACAACATCACTTAAAGGATAGGTTAGTGCTTTCCATGTTGATTTTGGTTCACTTTTCCAGATTTTTATGGATTAATTTCAGTTCTTATCACCCATTATATAATTTTCCCCACATGCACAATATCAGCACAAACTCAGCTATGGGTCTGACTTCTTAGTTTGTCAATTTAACCAAGTATAAAGCTACCAGCAACCCAAAATACATTGCAAAATTACAAAATAAAAATAGATTCATACCATAAAATACTTATAAATAAAAATGTTGTATAATTATTGTTTCACTATTTATAAATACAAATACAGCCAGCAGATAAATGTAAGAAATAATACAACTATTACATATAAAGTGATTTTATCCCAACTTGTTCATTTGTTATAGATGTCTGTGTGTGCCTGTAAATCACTGAAAATATGAATAATTTATTTTGAAATGTTTTTATGGTCATATAATTATGGTGGTTATGTTACTATACATGAGTAAATTAACTGATGAATATAGACCCCCCCCCCCCCCCCCCACCCCCAAAAAAACATTCAATATTCCAAAATATATTACAAAGTTAATATGAGGCTTCAATCTGAGTTCATCAAATCAACATGTCTGTTTAGTCCAATCCACTGTACTACTGTCCACTTTATTTGATTAGCTCTTACTGCTGACGCTTTATTAACTTCAGACAAACTCTGGACTTTGAATTTTTGTTTCAGAACAAGACTGTGGATGTTGCCTTCCATCACTTGCACTGGAAACAAAGTATTATGGGATCTTTTAATTACCAGCACAAAGAGGAGGAATGATTACAGCAAGCACAATCTGTTTAGATGTACATTAATTATTGTTAAAAAGACAGACTTGAAATATTGTGATCTTTTCCTTTAAAGCCCTGAAGCCCACATTCACATTCAGGATGTTAAAGTGCTAAGCGTAAAATAGAAGTGTCAGACTGCCAGTATTTAAAACATCTTTTATTTTGTCCTAATTCAAAGACCAGATGTCCTGCGGTGACGTTGTGTGAACCTTTACTAAATCTCTCTCAGGAATAGAAATACTGGCACCCACACACGCGCGCGCACACAGGCACACACACACACACACACACACAATGATGTTTCCATCACTTCAGAGGACATTATATTACACTGACTTATATTAATTTCCTGGAGACTCACCCTAACCACTACTTGCCTAAACTAACATCTTCACCCTGAAAGTGAATTGTTTGTGACTGTGTAAACAGATTTAGGTCCCCACAATTTAAGTAATACACGCTCCCACACACAAACACACACACAAAGAGTTGAACAACCTGATTTCAGATCTGCACCAACTGGCAGAGAGAATCACCATTTTCCATCCTCGATATCAGAGAGGCAGTTACATAACACCACTTTGACTCATGAAAACACCATCCTCTTATTTCCAATATGGCACTTAGCTAATCAGCCCACATCACAGTGGAGCTGTGTACTGGTGACGAAGGGGAGGACAGACTGCTCAATTATAGGTAACGTGAGCAGTAAATCAAAGAGTCACACGCACTAAAATCCCCACCTCTTCCGATGGACACCCCCTGCTGCAGTACGCAGATGTAGAGCTGCAGGGTGAGCTGGGGGGCTGATCCCAGGAAGGCCTGAATGACAGAGGTACGGGCGAAGGCTGCTCGGTGCGTAAACAGTTTCCCCTCCGCCTGCCCCACCTGCCGCTCCACCTCCTCAGACTGACCCCTGCGAGGAATCTGCTTCTTCCTGGTGATGCTGACATAAGGCTCCTCCACACGGCCCACACTGCCGTAGATACAGAACGCCTCCAGACACCTGCAGCACAGCAACAGAGACCATTAAGAGCTGCAGACACTTTAGAGGCACTTAATGAAGTGCTGCAGATAACTTTCCATTTTCAATCCATCCAAATGCATATTATTGTTTTTCATTTTAATTACAATTATCAGGCTTTCCATTAACTTCATCAAAACAGAGGCTTGTCTTCCTTCTTCACCACATTAATAATAATAATAATAATGATAATAATTTATTTGAGTAGCACTTTTCAATACAGGTAAAGTTCTTCAGCATACAATCAACATAAAAACACATACATACAGTAAGTCAAAATAAAATAAGATAAAAATAAAAGTTGACATCACCCAAACACACAAAAACTTAAAGAAACAAGTCTACTGCGGTGTTAGCAGCTCTGTGAGGCTATTCTCAGGCTCAGTGGTGCTTTGAGCTGAATGCTAATGTCAGCAAGCTAACAAGTTCACAATGACAAAAACAATAAGGTGCTGATGTTGAACTATTCAGCATCTTAGTTTAGCATGCTAACATTCGCTAATTAGCACTAAATACACAAGTACAGCAACTGACAGGAATGTTATTAGTTTTGCAGGTATTGAACCAAAGTACTGGACAAAAAAGCTAAAGTTAAGGGATCATCAAAACTATTAGAAAGCATCCTGAGGGGAACATGAAGGCCTGTACAGAGTGGCTCTGCAACCCATCCAATATCTGTTGACCCATTTCAGTCAGTATGGCTGCAAACTCTTGGTCTTGTTTGATAAGTGGCTTAAATGATTAAATCAATTATCAAAACTGTTGAAAATTGATTAATTACTTATTTAAAAAGTAAACTTCACAGCATTTCCTGTGTCAGCACAATGTGATGAATGGCATATTTTGCTGAAGTGCCTCTTTATACACAGATTAGATGTTGGATCACTTTCGACCACACTGAGTCAGCTTCAAACACAGTTTAAATGCTCACTATAAGAGCTAAAAAAAAACTTTAATTGATCTTTGGAAAACATCACAAATACCTTCAGTACATCTTGAGCAAAATGATTTGTCATGCACCTCCCATTGTGAAAGAATCAAGTTTGAGGAAATTTTATGAAAATTCGGTCCCTTAAAGGCTTTTCTGGAAGATGTTTGTATCACTTGTAAAGATAACTCTCACGCTTTATCAGACTGAATGGACTAGTGCGGTCTACTGGGTAAGGCTGCACTTTTATTATTTTTGATTTTATATTTATTTATTTGTTTGTAATGTCCCTTTTGATTGTGTGTTTGTTTCCTGTGTGTGCATGCTCCTAATATTTATTGTGTTCTTGTGAGTTTTCTTCTTTTTCTGAAGAAATGTAGGGCTGGAGCTTCTGCTTTTTCTCATTTTTGATTAATTTACTGATTATTTGATTTTTTGATAAATGGTTTAGTCTATATAATGTCAGAAAGTAGTGAAAAATACCCATCACAATTTCACAGAGCACAAGGGGATATCTTGTAACAATAATCAATCATTAACAGATCAGTTTAAGTTTTAAGTGATATAATATAAATACAAGGAGCAACTACTCACATTGGAGAAGCTGTAACGTGAGAAAAATTGGCATTATCTGCTTGATAAATTATTTAAACTATTGATTAGCCAATCTGTTGTAGATAAATTTTCTCTCTCAGTAAAAGGTCTGTGATATGACTGGTGACCTGTGTGTACCAAGGAAATAACATACCAATGAAATGCAACAATTGTGAGCAGCTGTAGATGACAGTTTATTATATACTATTAAAATATATATTTATAATACTCATCATCAGTATCTATCGGTACACCAGCATTTAGCTCTCTGTTTAAAGAGATTTCAGTAACAGTCACAGTCAGTTGTCTGCCAGTGAGATACTAAAACACTTTAGTGCTGGGTTTGGGAAAAAGGCCAGAGGTCTGTGTTGGTAAAGCAGCACTGATACAGGGTTCCAATAAAACAGCAAGGCAGGGGGATTTAAACCAAGCGGCTGCTGAGGGACAGACTGTTTATCAGCTTGAACTACACTGGAGTGGCACACCCAGTGAATGCATGACTGATTTAAAAAAATATAAATAAAAAAGGCTGAGTCTTTGAGCAGCTTTTCGGATGTTAAAATACCAAAATCTCATTGAAGGATGAAGCGATACGCATCTGTCCCTGCTCAACTCCGCATGTTTTAAGTTGATGTGTTTGTGTGTCTTTAGGTAACAGAGTAAGTGGAGTTTACTCACAACAGACAGATAACATAATCTCGACTTAAAGCGGCTATAATCAACATTTATATAATATCAATGGATCACATTATTACTGCAGTTTCTTTCAGCTTTGTGGCATCTTTCAGCTCTTTGTTCGGTTTCCGGCTCCCAACTGCTCAGCACCAAACAGCAGACAGACAAAGATATTGACTAGCTGGTGAACATAGTGGAGCATTTAGCAGCTCAAGAGATATTTTCCTCAGGAGCTGGTGGAGAAAAACTGAGCAAAAAGAGAGTGAATCTCGGGTGAACTCAAACATGACTCCAAGTGAATCATAATGTTGATGTGTAAAAAAGCAACTGTTGTTTATGCCTAAAGCCTATTCTTGGTGTTTTTTCGCAGGAAATTTCAAGTTTCCACATCATACTGTAAGTTGCATATTGAACTATAGTTTCTAAATCCACTTGTACATGTCATCTTAACTTTCCTCCTTCACGTTCCTACTGAATGTGAAAAACGTCTTCTAGTGTCAAACTCTGCACCCCCATCACTCTGTACTGTTACTTTTTTAAAATACTTTTTTTGAGTGAAGGGGGACTCTAAATATTGTAAAATCTACAGAAAACATTGGTACATGGACCTTTAATATTATTTTGTTAAACTACTGTTCCTCAGGCCAACAATGTACTTTCATGCTTATCAAACTTCTGTTGGAGATTAAATGAAGAAATGAACACATGTCTGATGTACACTCACAAACAATTAAAATAAGGTTGCTTATTAGAGTGTTTTCAACACATTAAAGCAGCAGTGCAAAGCGTTGTTGTCACGACAAAGCATGATAAGGACTCTGCTTAAGTTATTAGAAGTGTTGTTTTGGGCGGATGAGACTCTGAGAAGAGGAAGTGTACAGTACAGAGACAGACATTTCCCTCTCTGGTTGTGTTGTCAGAGATAAGGAGCCAGCTGCGACACACTCTATTCTTAGATCTGCTCTTCACTGAGGACAGACGCAGTCTGAAGAGTAATCATCTGAATGCACACTGGAGGGGAAACAGGAAGGGTCAGCACCACAGAAGCCACTGCTGGGGAGTCAACATGCTGCCAGAGATAAAAAATATGGATGCTGTTGGGTCTTCATAAATATAACAGTCTCTATCAGTTTATATACTCTGGCTGAAGGCTAATTGAATAGTAACAAGTCTACTTAAGATGGCAAGTAACAGCTGTTTATTTTTGATTAATTCATTAATTGTTTAATCTATAACATTTCAGAGAAAATAGTCCAAGGAGCCCAAATTGACGTCTCCAAACTATTTTTGTCTAAACAGTCCAAACTCCAAAGATATTGAATTCATGATGATATAAAACAGAGAAATGCAGCACAAGTCACACATCTGAGGAGCTGGATCCAATAATCCATTGGCATTCTACTTAATAACTGACTGAAATGATCAATCAATTATCAAAATTGCTGGTTCAGGGTAAGTTTGTTTATTGACTGATTACTATTATTGATAACTACTATTACTACTATTACTATTGAACTGAATAATCTACAGACCAATCCATTATTCTAAAGGTTCACAAAACATCTAAAAATTGTAAACACAAATACAAAGCACAAATTGAGACTTTCAATTGAAATCTTTTGATTGCTTGTCAATAATGAATGAAACAGTAACTGTATAGGTCTGCTTTTCTAAACAATACTCACCCGTGTCTCACACACCACACATTCATCTCCCCCAACAAAAACAAACACACAGACAAATTAAGTATCTATAACATACTCTAATAGTCAGAAAAAAAGTAGAGGAATAATAGAAATAGAAAATAAATAAACAGGATAGGGGGGAAAGATTGCTCAGAGATTACTGAAGCTTAGGGGCGCCACACTGCGTAGCCTACTGTACTCTCTGTTCCCCAAACAGTAAAACAGATTTTCTCTAGATTCCAAAAATAACTTTTAAAACGGCTGAAAATCCGGATGTGAAAAATGAATTGGCAGAAACAACATTATAGGAGTCTATGCTCAGTAGATTAAAAGGTCAACTTGAAAATGGCATTTCCTCTCGAGACCTTTTTTGGTACTATTGTATAAACAAAGTGCCTCTCTAGGTTTTGACAATAACTTAGCATTATGAACTTCTGTAAATATTTCTCTTTTTATGAAGAAAAAAACACTGAATGAAGATATTTTGCAGGAACTGCTGATATTTTTTGTCTTGACTTTGTATTTGCTGCTTAATTTCATTAATTTACCTTTGGAGTTTCTTCTCCGTTCTTTATCATATTCACTCCTGTCAATTACATGCCGCAATGTACCAAACCTCTTCTTTAAAACCTTAAATGCCAAATATTGTCTCAGATTAATTTCTGTCAATCCACTGATCAGTGAATTGACTAATCGTTCCAACTCTTATGATGGGCTTCCGTTAGGGCTGCAACTAACAAGTGTTTTTATTCCCTTGCCTGTCCATCTGCCTTTTAGTTTCTTGATTGATCATTTACACATACGCCTCAATTTCCTAGCATCCAAGGTAAAGGTTTTCAAATCTCTCTATGAAACTACAAGTTGCTAAATTGACTGTTTATATTCACAAGGCCTACTGTCATGCCATGAGTGTGCTTATGATTGCAACTAACAGCTGTGTAGACTAATCCATTAATCGTCATCGTGATTTAATCATAAAATCAGAGCCCAAAGTGACGTCTCTCTTTATTTATGATAAAACTGCACACTTTACACACCTGATGCCTGTTTTGTACAGAACATTTTCTTAACATTTTCTCTATTGATTGATTAATCATTTACCCATATGGCCATCACATTTATTTACTTTCAAATGTCTTTAATTTAGCCTTAAAGCCAAAGAGATTCGCTTTACTAAAATGACTAAGAAAAGCTGCACATTCTCACACTGAGAAGCAAGTGTTTGTTGAAAAATGATTTAAATGATTAATCGAATACTAAAATAGTTGTCTGTCTCGTTTCAGCTCTAGTTTCCATATTACAGGAGATGAATGAGTTTTTTGGTTTTTTTAACCAGATCTCCTGCTGTTTGTATTGATCATGCTGTCTGTGAGTACAGTAGGGAGGCTTTCTACATGCAGGATTAGGCTCCTACTGCTGCAGGCAGATGGTCCAGACAGGTCAGATCAGGGCTTACACGGGAAGAAGGTCTATTATGGTTTAAAGCACTAGTGTGCAGATGTTTTCCAGCTTCAACAGCTTCTTCATGCGCTCCAGCAGCGCTTTATGTCCTTTCAGACGGAGCAGCCATGAATAACACAGCTGAAGATGATCAAACTGTCACAGGGAAGAGATCTTATTGGATAGCCGGTGGTGGCTGAGCAGACTGGCAGCTGTGTATATAACATATCGATAAGCAATGGGCGTATTGATCAGCAGTATATTTCCGAACTACATGGCACAGACATACATTCACTGCGCATAAGCAGCGAGTTGGAGCAAAAGGACGGAGAAAATCAAAACAACAGCATGTGCGCGACGCATTCATCAAAGCATCCGTAATCAGCTTATGTGCAGGCAGGTTGGGGATGTTTTTAAACGAGAAAAATCACCTCTGTATAAACCGTTTCTTTGTGTGACACGGTGGAGATCAGGGACGCGATCCCGTGCGCCTGTACGGGCCAGCCTTTAGAGAAACAGACAGATCAACAAGCCACCACTGACCTGACGACGGGTCCGAGCTGCAGGATGTGCAGCAGCAGGACGAGCGGTCTGTCTCTGCTCAGGTCCCGGTGGATGAAGGTGAGGGTCAGCTGCACGAGCACGGACGGCACGAGCGTGAAGAGGAGCGTGAGCCCCTGCCAGATTTGGTCTCCAGCTGAGCGATACGTGGAGCTGAGGTAGAGCGCTGCCGTGGTCTCGGCCGTGAACAGAGACACCGACACAAAGATGGAACTGGGGAGTCGCATCCTCGCTCACTCCGCCATTTGGGGAATGCGGGAAACACGCTGCTTCGCACGGGGTCCGCACGTCCATAACGTTACCACCGAGCGGCCCGTCAGTCAGTCACCCGCTGGAGGGGACGCCCGCACCCGCAGCTCCTCTGCGATTTTGAGGCCGGCAGGATGTTTTCACAGCCAAGTGTGGTTCCGGGCAGGGTCTGCGGGGGGCGCAAGAGGCACTGCGCTCTCTGGCGCGTGCTGTCGGCACGACACCTGTCACTGAAACGCCCTGCGGACTGACATGTAGCCTATAGGCTCGATATGGTTAGACAGCATTAAGGATTGTTTTACTTATCAGATAAATCACAGATAAGTTAGAAACAGGAGCGTCACTTTATTATTTAAATTAATATTAAGCTATGTGTTGAGTTTTAAGGATACAATTCAGAAAGTAAACCTTTCTCACATATTTGGGTCATTTCTGCTATTGGTGACTTTTAAGTCCCCAGAAAGTTACTCTAAATATTGTACTTGAAATAAATTAAATTATAACATCAACACAAAACATTTCTGTCTGTTTCTTATGCAAGTTTTATGGCGTTAACTTGGGTGTCCTACTCTTGAATTTCCACCCTGTTAGGCTAAATTATGAAGAAAGTAAACCACATTTTTCAAAAATAACAACCATGTTTGATATCTACACTAAAGTACTATGTATTTGTGGAGAGATATCTTGTGCTTGCTGTCTCACAGAGCAATGGCTAATTTGGTTTTAAAATGTACACCCTGTTAGGTTTATATACCCAACAGGTTGGAACATAACAGGGTGGACATTTGAAAAAATCTATTACAAAATATCAGGAAATGCATATAAATGCTAATAATAATTAAATTGTCATTTAAACTGTTTGTGTAATTTACCAATATACATGCAAGTTAACACTTTTGATATATACAAATATATTCTATATCCATTTAGTTGGCTTTAACTCTGTCCCACTGCATCACTATCAAGTATCAACTGATCACACCCTCTTGTGTATGATCAGTTAATATTCATTTACACAATGTTTGGATAGGTAGTAACATGTATTTTTTTATGTTTAATGTCCTGTATGTTTAAAAAAGTATTTAATGTATTTTCTATTAATTTAAAATGTGTGAGTTAATGACAAAGTTAGGTTCCACCCTGTTGGTAACATTTATTTTTTAAATAACTTAAAGACCATATTGAAAGTTTTGCATATTTTTATGTTAATTTGTAAAGTTGAAAATGATTAACATCATACACATGTTTGTTTGTGTACATTTCTGTTATAATTCAACATTTTTGCGTAAATTGTGTGCAAAAACGTGACATTTCTAAAAAATAAACATGTGTTCTGCTCAAAAAGTCTTGTTTTATTAACATTCAAGGAAATAGGATGTATGTGTTGAAATAAGGGACACATAAGGTGTAAGAAAAGCTAAGTATTGTTGAATATTTACATTATTAACACTTTGCAATATCTATGTGTCCCTAACAGGGTGGAACTCTCTCACAGTCCAAATCTGAAGTGCTTGAGCTCTAACAATACACATTCATTAAGATTAAACATGTAATTTACCTCATTAAATGTTAAAAACTTGAAAAAATTATCATATTTCCCCAAAATGTTAGCACATCGAAAAATCACCAATAGCCAGGAATGCCTCATTTACCCATGACAAACATTAACACCAGCCTACATCTGTAACACACAAAAGAGCCATTTAATATCAAGGGGAAATAGACAGAAGGGGGTATTTGTACAAATTATTTGTCTCGGGAATTATTAAAATTTTGAGATTTTAGGATATCTCTTCTGAGAAGACTTTCTCTTATAACACATCTAACCCCAAACCTCTAACATGCACTTCCTTTGCACTTCTTCTTCTATCTCCTTATTATTATCTTGTATTGATTGCACTATTTTGTTAACTCTTACTTCTTTCCCTAGTAATAGGTGTCATTTACACCAGAGACGCTTGGGGTAATGTCCTCACCACATTTTGAAAGCATTTGTTAAAAATGTTCCTAAAATATCTTGCACCAAGAAATGTTAACTAACAAATGAAAATCCTTTGAGAAAGGTTTATTTGCCTAGAAAACATGCAAAGCAATTTAAATATAGAAGAAACAAATGTCCATTACTCAGTGATGTCCACTGGCTACCCATGGCCTCCAGAATCAGATTCAAGTTTCAAATTCTTGCATTCACAGTGACTACTGGGTCTGCACCCATGTATCTACCTAAACTCCATAATACAAGTTTACGTTCCTTCTCGGCCACTACGCTCCTTCAACGAATGCCGCCTGGCTCTGCCATCACTTCACACAATGCAATCCCAGTCCCGGCTGTTCGCATCTGTGACACCACGATGGTGGAACGAGCTACCACACGCAATATATTGCCGCATTTCAGATTTCTTCAAAATAGTTTTTAAAATCTTCTCATCTTGTTTTTGAGCATTGTCTTATCTCATGACACAAGTGTATCATCATACCCCTAATCTGAGCCCTTATGTCCCCATCATTTTTCAACACAAAGTGATTCCCTTGTCCCCGTACATGCAATTAACTCTTATATTATCTGTTGTCACTTGTAGATCTCATACTGTAGCCTATTGCTGCTTTATTGATGCTTGTATGTTTTTCCTCAAATGTAAATTTGTTTCCCAAATGAGTAAATGTAATGTAGGCTAATGTAATAATTATGCCCTTTGGTCTTTTTACTTTTATTAGGCTTGCATTTTTTATCTAAGTTGTAGTTAATATATATTATTTAAGGTGTATAGTAGGCTACATTGTTAAATTACTGTGTCTTGTTACCTAATTTTCTCTCTGGAGCTGCTTTTATGTTTTGACCAGCTAAAGACAATTTTCCACTCTGGTGGACAATAAATCGCTGTTCTCTTGTAACTAAGAACTTTAATTTTTCATTAATTAAAATCATAGATCAATGGATGTATTGGTTACCCTGGTCCAGGATATATATGATACAACCTTTTTGAAAATGTTCTCCTTTTTTAGACCCATGAACTCTGACGGACATGCTGTATATACTTATTATTTCTTTACCCAAAATACCTGTTTCACATATGATATGTGACTCTTGATGAGATGATGTTTTCTTCTTTCTCTGTCAAGTTGTAAAGGAAACACACTGGAAATGTCATTGTCAGGGATGCTTTGATTTATGTTTTAAATATATGTTTTCATATAAATCAGATAGTTATGATAATGTTGCAGTTTCAGAAAACAAAAAACAGATTTATTTCATCCAGACGCGTTTATTAATTATTAATAACAATAATCCTTTAGACTTTGTTGTTGCAAATGGAAAAGCACACACACACACACACACACACATACACAGCTTATAAATGTTCCACAACAAGCACAATTAGCTTTGGGAAACTCCTTTGGTTTCCTAATATTTAACTTTATTACCCTGTACACACACAGCCCAAAGCATTTTTGGTTTCTAATGTTGTCAGAGAGATGTGATCAAATTTCAATCCCTCAGTCAACTGTAATTTAACTGTAATTTAACTTGACTTTTTCTCAAATCATAACAAATTGAACATTTCGAAGATCCCCATACGGTAACTAGCACAGTTTGAAACATCAAATATACACACAGCTGTCACACTGCTACACATGGTGTAACCTCAATTCAAACAGGCGAGTCTGTCATATGCACACTGTTAATAGGACAATCTACAGTTATTTCTCTCATCATCTGTTGGCTTTACATCTCTACCAAACTTGACTATTTTACAGGTTCATTATCAAAATCCCTCCATTATATTTGTCATTAAAGGTTCAGACAACAATAATTTCACAATAATCAACTCAAAGGTCTACAATACGTGACGCTGAGCTGGTGAAATGGTAGAAAAGGTTTAAAGGCATTTTGTGACAATTGTGTTTCTCTTTTCTGTTTTTCTTTTCTGCGAATTGGGTTGTGATTGCCAGTTATTTTAGCTGTCAATGGTATATGTGCATGTGTGTTTCTGACCTGAGGGCAGCATCTGTTTAGAATATGCTGCAGTTTCAATCTACTAGCATAGAAAAAACTGCCAATATTTTATTGCAGGGGTTTTCAAACTTGAGCAAAGCTGTTTTTTAGACTATATTTGTTTCCATTTTGGGAAATTGGCACCATTAAAAATATGAATCAGTTATTAACAGTTCCTTTTTTGTAATGATGCACAGACAACTATCACTGTATTACTTTGATATTGAAGAAAGCATAAAAATGTGATGATTCTGGAGTTCCAGTATAAGGAGTGTTTTTTCTATGATGTTCCTGATTTATGGACGTTTATTAGTGACATTGGAGATAATGACAATCTCATCTGGAAGTGTAAGTCACGTTGAATCTAAAAATATGTGTAACATGTCTCTGTGTTTAGATTTGACTGAGTTATAACTCAGAGAAAGAGAACATTTGTGACTCAAATTCAAAGTCTCTCGCTCCACGCCTCCTCTTCAACTCTCTCATGCCGCCCTGGGGAGGCCCACAGTTTGAACACCTCTGCATGAGTACAACTGAATACATTGTAAATTGAAATGGACAATGTTACAGTAAGTGGAATAAATCTGTTAAAGCCTGGACAAGCTGAACAACCACTTTAGTACAGACACAAAAAAGAGCCTTTTTCTACTGCAACTGTACTCAAATGTGATTTTCTAAATCCCAAACACCATCCATCCCCCCACTCCCACTCTGATCACAGTTACAATCAAGACAGTGTTTCTACCAGTCCAGTTATTGAAAGATTTCAGAGGGAGGGAGTGTTGTCTGAGCAGCAGGTTCATTCACACAAAGACACTAAACAGAGGAAACTCTGACTGGTCCGGCTGCAGGAGGTCAACGAGGAAACAAACAGTGCCCGACAGGCCTTCAAACAGGCTGAAGACACTGGTCACTGAGCGGGAGCCTGCCTTAAACTCCTCAGTGAAGAGGAACTCTGCAAACCTTTGGGGAGGAAAAAGAAGAGAGGAGAGACATGAATCTAAAGTGACATTTTAAGAGATTACAGCTGATGGGAAGCAGGACGGATGTACAGGAACACTGAGGGCACTGAAGTCATGTCTTCTGTATTTCTTGCCTGAGAAGAGATTTACATTCTAGAAAAACACATAAATTAGACATGACGGGGTGTCTGGTAGCCGCCATAGCAGCTCTGTGAGGCTCCACTTAAGCTAAATGCTAACATCAGCATGCTAACATGCTCACAATGACTATTCGATGCTGATGGAATAACGTTTGCTAACATTTGCTAATTAGCGCAAACACAAGTACAGCTGAGGCTGATGATGTCATTAGTTTTGCAGGTATTTGTTCATAAACCAATGGATTCATAAACACATTCACATTGTGACCTGATGATGGTGCTAGAGGACAAGTTTAGGAATCACCACAGACACGAATGCATCCAATATTTGTTGAGAGTTAAAAACAGAAAAGAGAACCTCCTGGTGGTCATATAAGGAGATACCCAAAGTCAATAGGATTGATTCATGAATATTTGAATAAAATTCATGGCAATCCATCCGACAGTTGTTGAAATTTTTCAGTCTGGACCAAAGCGGTGGACTGACAGACAGATCAAAACTGCCATCACATTTCAGCTTGGGATGGCTTCAACTGTGACCTCATGACCTTAGTATTTCTAGACAGTCCTGAGAAACAGTAGGAGGGATTTCTTACCTCTGCGCACGGTAGATGTATTTCGAGTTGCCTGTGAGCCGATAAAGCAGGAGAAAGACGTAAGCGCTGCCTGCAACTCCATGACAAATCCCAGGTCCCTTCTTCAGCAGGCCTTTCTGCCACACGAGCTCCCCACTCCGGATACACGTGTCCAAATACTGGGGTTTCTTATTGATCAGGTAGGCCTTAGCAAAAAGATACGCCACACCTGCACAAGAGGTTGGAAAAACAACATCTGAGAAGCCATGTATATGAGCACCTGTGCATGCTCACGGTGATGTGTGTACAACACTGAGTGTACCTGGGGCTCCGTGGCACCAGTGCACCAGTTCGTTCTCTCTCTCGATGATGGCACCAAGCTCAGCAGGCCAGTTACAGTTCTGCTCCTGGTTCATTAGGAAATCGACGCTCTGCCACACCAGGTCCTTCTCTGCCCAACTGAGGTTGTCCTGGTAGCTCAGCAGCATCTGGAGCACTGATGAGAGGCCGTGGGCTGCACCTGTGAGGACGGGGGGATCATACACATGCACCCACCAAACCGGGCATGCAGGGAAGCAACATGCCAGGCACACAAACAGACACAACCCAAAGCATACAAACATTCACAAAGGACTACTAGAGTTTTGGGGTTATTTTTGCTTCTTACCTTATAAACTGTAGCCTACTATACAAACTTGATAGTTCTGTTTGACAGTAATTGTAAACTATATGAAAAAGGTTAGAACCCGAAACTTGATGATTCCCAGAATAGTTGAGCTCCTGTCAAGTACATAAGCAGCTGCACAATCACTGTCCCACTTCACGACCAGAGGATACAAATTTGACCAGAGGATACATGCTGAACTAGGAAACTGTATATTAAATTATTAAAATAAGAGCAGAACTAATACAAAACATAGAGTAATAATAAAAACATGCTTATGTGCAGTAACCTTGAGGTTTCAAAGACAAGATATTCATCTAATGCCTCAGAGTGATCAAGAACTATACATGCTTCCATCTGAAAATGCAGAGTGAAGAGGTGGTATTGTGCTTTTTGCCGCTCCTTGATTGAGTTTATATCTTTTTTGTGCATGCAATAGGTTTGCAAAGTCCAGCCCAAAGGGAGTTCCCATCTCCCACAGAAAAGACTCCTCTGAACTGCCTGGAAACAGCTCCTTTGTAGTCCAGCGTTTCAGCAAAATGCACATCATATAACGCTCGCCAAGCAGCTAGTCCAACACGCCCTCAAAAACACAGGTGGAAAAACACTGAGCTGCAGCACACACCTCTCTCCCTTCCAAACACTAGCTATTCTCCAGGCAGTCAATGGACATAAAGTTGTTACTGTGATGTAGAGACAATGCTCAGCTAAAACTTTATGGATGAAAGATATTTTTGTTACAGATTAATAACTCACCACTATGAAACTCTTGCTCCACTCCATGTTGCTAAGGTGCTAAGGGCCTATACAGCTGAACCGAAGCCGTGTTTACCGGCTTCTCACTGACCCGCCCTTCTCTGCTTCTGATTGCCTAGTAGTCCTTAACTAGGAACTGTGCATGTGCAACTCCCAACAAAGATCATTTAGAGAAAAGATGTATCACTCCATCGCTAAAACAAAGCCTTCAACACAGGGTGAAAAGAGGAGCTACAGCAATGTGCAGTATGACAAAAATATGGTGTTTTTTGAAAATTAAACCATGTAAACCTGTTCTGGCAACCCCTATATAAGATGTTGAACCTTAAAAGGGGGCATAATACCACCTCTTTAAGAAACTAAAACAGCTGTTTGTAGTCTTGAAATCCCCCAGGCAAGAAAGTCGACTTTGGACGATTCTGCAAAACCACGGATTACATTCAAGGTGAATATTTTATCACGTTTATTTGCCAACTTTTTAAAAATGTCTTGCTTTCTACAATATATGCAAAGGGTAACTACGGAAAGGTTAAGTTTAGGGAAAGATCATGGTTATGGCAAATAAAATATGGTTAAATTGTAGTTAAACATTCAACATTTTGGAAAATAAGCTTATTCTACCCTGTCACACTGCCTGTCTGATCGGCCCGGTTTAGTTTAGGTCTCTGTGAGTTTTGCTTATTGGTCTGTTCAGTATCTATTATTTAGTCTGTTATGTTTAGATTAATTCTTGCCTGTTCTGTGTTTTGGGATTGATTTGTTTGTTTAATTCTTGTCTTGTGTTTTGGAACCTGTCAGCCTGGTGCTAGTTATTTACCACTCCTTGTTGGTTGTTTTATGTCAGTTTGTTCTGTGATTCTGGTTTCAGTCTGTTTCCATGTTGTTTCTGGTTTTGATCTGTCTGATTGTTTTCATGATTGTTGGATGTATTCTTTGTTCTGTTCATTTGTCTTATCTGGTTTTGGTCTTGGGTGCCCTTTATATCTGTTTATAGGTATTCATGTTTCTGTTGGGATTTGGCTGTGGCTTTGTTAATAGCTCTGTTAGTTTGGGCCTATTTTGTTTTTGTCTGTGTTTCTGTCAGTTCATCACCCTGCCTGCCTGTGTCTGTCTGCTGTCATTATTAGTATCACCTGTTTGTGGTCCCGCCCTCCTTGTTAGCCAGTGCTTAATGTTTGTTGCTTCTGTTTAGCTTTTGCTGGTTCGTCATATGTTCATCCTCTGCCGTGTGTCTTGCCTGCCTGCCTGCCTGTTTCTGCTGCCTCATTTTTGGATTTTCCTTTTGTTCTGTCTTCCCCTAGATTATTTGTTTATGTTTTTGCTGCTCTGTGGACTACCTCTGTTAGGATTACCTTTGTTGTTTTTTGTTGGCCGTAAGTTTGGCTTCTTCCCCTTGTTAATAAATTCTAAGAGACCGTATCTGTCCCGCCTACTCGTCCTGCATTTGGGTCCTGAAACCTGCAATTCATTGTTACTACACTTCAGTTGTGTACAGATTAGTCAAACAAGATACAACATATTAATTAGTGAGCTTGTAAGTGTTCGCAAGGCGGTTTTCATTACCGGTGGACAGATGCAGAGTAGCTGTCTCCCCATTTCAAGTATTAGTGCTAAGCTAACTGTCTGCTGGCGGAAGCTTTACATTTACTGTACAAACATGAGAGGAGTATCTTCTAACTCTCAGCAAGAAAGTGAATAAGCATGTTTCCAAAAATGTCAAACATATACTTTAAGGTTAGCCACCTAACTTCAGTTTCAGGAAAGATCATGGTTATTCTTAATAAAAACACAAACATGAACTGCAGGTTTCTGACGGAACACACACTCTGGTCTCCTGCATGAAAGTCAAACGTGCTACAAACCCATCCACCACCCTGATCTTCACACCTTTACAGTCCTCCTCACTACATAAGCAGGTAAGTAAGTCAGTAAGTAAGTAAACTTTATTTGTATAGCACTTTTCACAGACACAAGTCACAAAGTGCTTTACAAAAACAAATGGCACACTACGTCCTACCCTGGCACTCAACGCTGGGATTGGACATAAATGAGGAGGTGCAGAATCCTCAAAAATGGACATAATTCGCTGGGATACTAGGCCAAGTCTTCTTAAATAACGTTGGACTCGTGCAGGGAAAACACAGCTCTCTGAGTGTCTGTGAATTCCATTTTTATCTGCAGCTTATTGATGTTGAGCAAATAAAAGCAGAAACCCCTTTGTGAGCAAATCTTTCAGGACAAGCAAACTGTAACTCATGCAGCACCTTTAACCAGGTGTGTTCACAGAACATCCAGATATTTCTACTTTAAAAATGTGTAATTTGTTTCACCTCCTTCATCATCCTCAAAGTTCTTGATCTCCAACCCTGACAGTTGTCTTCATCTGATGCAATCCAGGAAAGGAAATGTAAATTTTACACATGTTAACATAACAACCCTACATCTCTAACTGCCTACAAATTGTCATTGTGTGATAACGGAAGATCCTCCTATAATCAGATGACTAAAATCTTAATTTCTAAATGGTAATCAACACTCGAACTGACCTGGATAACAAGGACAGACATTAGACTTAAAGGAAAATGACAAACTTCTATCTATCTGTGAAGTAATTTTATTTAAAGCTGGTGTTCTTACCAAGATACTCCGTTCCATAGTACGAGTACATGAGGGGGAAAGGCTTTCTCTTCCTCTTGGCGTACTGTTTTCCCGATTCAATTATGGCCTGGCAAATAGATTTGATTTGATCTTTGCTCAGAATCTGCAGAATAAAAGAGAGAGTCATAAAGTAGAGGTATATACACATATATGGTTGAAGAGTTATCAAAAATATAGACCTGATGTTAGAGCTGAAGCGATTCTCAAAAGAAAATTAATCGCCAAGAAACTGTTTAATTGTTTATCAAGCAACAACATCTCATATTTGCTGTTTCGCTCCTCTCCAATGTGTGGATGTTTCCCCCGTTTTATATCATTATATGTGGAATATCTTTGGGTTTTTAAACTTGAGCATGACCAATATAGGATTTTTGAGGCAGATGCTGATATCAATATTTGACAGTTTAGGACATGATAGGATTTTTTTCATCAATTTGCAGCATCAAGGTTCTGGGTTCGAATCCCAGCTGGGGCAAGGCCTTTCTGTATGGAGTTTGCATGTACTCCCTGTTTGTTTCCTCCGGGTGCTCTGATTTCCCCCACCATCAAAAACAATGTATATCAGATGTATTTATAACCAGTGCTCTTGACCGAGATCTGGAGTTGGTCCCTGGGTGCTGCCCACTGCTCTACTTGAGATGGCTCAAATGCAGAGAACTATTTTATTTATTTATTTATTTTTTAGATAATTGATTAGAGAGACTAAGCAGAACATTTTACAGTTAAAAAACATATTGGTGCTCTCTAGTGTATAACCTCTATATTGACCTGTACTGACATTTCTAACTTGTAGCTGAGATATAAGTCAAAAACAACAGCTGTCTGCAATATGATAATATTGGCTGATATATTGACACAACCGAATGATCAGTCCAGCTCTATTTTGGACAGCTTGAAGCTCTCAGAAACAGTGATTGCCTTTCTTATTTTAATTTTGTCTTTTTGACTATTTTATGGAATAAAGGTTTATTTTTATTAATATTTTAAATAATTTATATAGGCTATGTATTCATCAAAATATAAATTCATCAAATCTTGACAATAAAAATAATTGTTAGTTGCACCTACAGGCTACACATAATTATGTTTTTGTTTACTAATCATCTTGTGAATATTAATTGTCGGCTTAGCAATAGGCCCAACTACTTCTAGGAAAATTGTGATGCCAGTTCACATTTTGAATAACTAATATAAAATAATCAGTAAGCTTTGCATATAGATTATCATTAGTCAAAGATCTGATTTACATACATGTTTACAAGTATTAGGCCTGGTGTTAACAAACATTTAACAACATCAAAAATGTTAATTAAAGTTGGTTGTAGCAGTGGTGGAAAAACGTGTATAGAGTAGTACAGTAAAACCAAATATGTAGAAATATTCTGTTAAAAGCAAAAGGCCTTCATTCTAAACATATCTTACAATAGCCTTAGTGTCAAAATACACTTAAAGCACCAAAAGTCGGCTACTCATTATGCAGAATGTCACATATTAGAATAATGTGCATGATAATACAGCATAATTTGCTTTTTAATTAGGGTGAAGGCTAAAATGGGCCAAATAAGGTTGGAGCTTTAAAGCGCCCTAAAGGTTTACAGCCAATCACAGTTACAGATCTTACATTGTTGCTACAACACTAGTTGACATGGAACAATAGTTTTAATTGGTCTGAGGATGCTATGGTGGGAGGCACCAAACACACACCCATAATTTTTAAATGAAATAATTGTTCAGCTTTGGCACCCAGCTAAAATTTAAATTATTAGCTTTATTAGCATTATCAGCTAAAATTACTGTCCCAAAAAAAGTAATTGTCTTTACATTCAAACTGAACAACTGGCCCATTTCATCTATGTTTAGTTAAAATGGGCCAGAGGGAACCTTCTGATACTCAAAAGCTCAAAATTCTAAAACAATTATACTTAAAAAAAAAAAAAATTAAATTTTTTAAATAAATAAATATTTAAGAAACCTGCAAGCCAACACTGAAGAAATGACACGTAGCTTCAAAGTAAAGTAGTGGGTGTACAGCTTGTATAACAGTATAAATTTGCTGTCCACTCAAAATAACACATCACACAGCCATTAATGTCTAAACTGCTGGCAACAAAAGTGAGTACACCCCTAAGTGAAAATGTCCAAATTGGGCCCAATTAGCCATTTTCCCTCCTCGGTGTCATGTGACTTGTTAGTGGTATAAGGTCTCAGGTCTGAACGGGGAGCAGGTGTGTTAAATGTGGTGTAATCGCTCTCACACTCCCTCAAACTGGTCACTGGATGTTCAACATGGCACCTCATGGCAAAGAACTCTCTGTGGACCTGAAGCTATGAGAAGATTGCCAAGACCCAGAAACTGATCTGCAGCACAATGGCAAATAGTTTGCTGAAGACAAGCAGACTAAGGACATGGATTACTGGAACAATGACCTGTGGTCTAATGAGACCAAGATAAACCTATTTGGTTCAGATGTTGTCAAGCATGTGTGGCAGCAACCAGGTGAGGAGCACAAAGACAAGTGTGTCTACATTCAAGCATGGTGGTGGGAGTGTCATGGTCTGGGGCTGCATGAGTGCTGTCAGCACTGGAGAGCTGCAGTTCATTGAGGGAACCATGAATGCCAACATGTTGTGACCTACTGAAGCAGAGCATGATCCCCTCCCTTTGGACACCGGGCCGCAGGGCAGTATTCCAACATGCTAACGACCCCAAACACACCTCCAAGACGACCACTGCCTTGTTAAAGAAGCTGAGGGTAAAGGTGATGGACTGGCCAAACATGTCTACAGACCTAAACCCTATTAAGCGTCTGTGGGGCATGTTCAAACGGAAGGTGGAGGAGCACAAGCTCACTAACCTCCACCAGCACTGTGATGTCGTCATGGAGGAGTGGAAGAGGACTCAGTGGCAACCCGCGAAGCTCTGGTGAACTTCATGCCTGAGGGTTAAGGCACTGCTGGTAAATAATGTTGCCACACAAAATATTGATACTTTGGGCCCAGTCTGGACATTTTCACTTAGGGGTATAGGCCTACTCACTTTTGTTGCCAGCAGTTTAGACATTAATGGCTGTGTGATGTGTTATTTTGAGGGGACAGCAAATTTACACTGTTATACAAGCTGTACACTCACTACTTTACATTGAAGCTATGTTGTCATATGAAAAGATATAATCAAATATTTACAACAATGTGAGGGGGTGTACTCACTTTTGTGAGATAGCCTACTGTACATAAATCTAGCCTACATGCAGACAATTTGAAGTGTTAACAAGTGACAGCCCTGTTTTAGGCCACAAACAGTGCGCCATCCTCTTGTTTAGGAGCTCACCTCTATGCCCAGCTTCTGTCTGAGGACCAGCGCAGCACACAGATACCCAGCTCGCCCCACAAACAGCTCATCCGAGCCGCACTCCAGAAAATTGATGGGCGCGCACACCTCCCACAGGTTACGAAATTTGGTCAGCGGCTTAACGAAATCAGCCAAGCCCAGAGATTTGTATATCATAGCGGCAACCGCGTAGATACCGGCCCCGCCGAGCAGAAAGGCGGCGCGCATGTTCTTGTCAGGCTCCGCATCCACGTATCTGACCGACACGTCGATGATCTGCTTTGCCGTCTTCAGATATGCGTCCCGCTGCTCTGAGAACAGCGGGCACTCGCTGACATGATACAGCATGTAAGCCACCCCGGCAGGGCCATCGTACAGCCCTCCGTCGCAGTCGCTGATGTCGATGGGAACCTTTTTCAGGATTTTATCGACGGTGGCGACGACGGCGGGCACGACGGCCTGAGCGCACTGACCCGGGAGCAGCGTGCCTTTGTAGTCAGAGAAGCGGTTGGTGAAGCAGCGCGTGTTTTCCATGACAAACGACAGAAACCGCACAACATGCAGGGCCACGGTAATAACGCAGACTGCTCTACGTATCCAAGGATGCGAGAGGAAACAACACATTGATTGAGCCAATCCCACCAGCCCTCATCTGATTGGACGTCAGCAGTGATGGATCAGCCTCATGTTGGCTGTTGGGACCTGTAGCCTGTCTGCCTCTTCACAGTGACCAGCACAATTTTACTTTTAATGTCTGGTAGTGGTGAAAAGTAACCAAGTACTTTTTCTAGTACAATTTCAGGTACTTGGAGTATATCCATTTTCTGCTACTTCTAATCCACTTCAATTTTACTGCACTAGCCTACATAGTTACCATTTCCTTTGCAGATTCAGATTAATAATACAAACTATAATCAACAAATACATTATATAGCCTATATATAATAATAATTAGGCTAATATTACATAGCATATTATTATCATGTTGGACAATCCTGGATTTTTCTTCTTTAATGTAACTTCAGAAAACTGTATGATTAAATGTAATTTACAGGTAAAATTTTATGCAGTCTTGCTTTACATTACTTCAGAGGTCATGAGACTACTAAGGTCACAACCATCACAACACACTAAAAAAGTTGGATAATGCCCCAAATTCAGAACGTAACTGCTATTGCATGTTAAATGTGAATTCACAAGACATTTTACAAACACTGCAAAGCATTTAATGTCCTTCAGTCCTTCATCTTGATGATCTTTTCCCAGGTGCTTTGAAATTCTTACAAATCCAGATTAAATGTGTCTCTTTTCAACAAAAGTTAACCCAAAGCAGCATATCAAAATCAGTATGTTAATCATATGTAAGCTTACAATCTTTTAATATTTCACTGCAGGTAAAAATGGCTCATCCATGCAGCCAACACATGCTCTTGTTTGTTTTCCTCTTGTTTATGAATATACATGAATATAAGGAAATGGACCTTTCTGCATGTGCCATCATAGAAATGGGTGATGTTGCTTTCTCTCAGGAATTTGTGTACGCCACGTGTCTCCAACAGTGCCAGGCTCCTCTTCAAACCTTTTTCCATGTGGTAGCTTCCAACCTCGCTGCTCTGTCCAAACAAAAGTATACATATTATTAAAGAGTGTTAACAATGACAAACACTGTAAAACATTTGATGTTAAAACTTGTTACAGTTTAATTTCATCCCACTCACCTGAACCAACTGGACATCTACAGCAGCTTTGGTCTTGGTGTCCATCACAGAGATCATGTGAAAACATTACAATCTTTACAATCTCCTCATATGGCATTACACTTCTTATTGATTGTAGTGTGTGGCATATGTCCCTACCGCCTTCACACAAAACTGTCCAAACTTTACAATTTAAATAATATATAAATCCTTAAAGAGTCATCATGTCACCGTGAACTTTCACTTTGTCCAGTTTGAAGAAGGATGCTCCACTCACTGCCGGCTGAGTACTTCCCCACAGCTATAGGATGGCTTGGTTAGCTGTAAGCTATTCTAAATACAAAAAATGTAATTGTACTAAATCACAAATCGACACGGACAAAGCAGTTGAAATAAAAGGAGTAGGCTACAGCTAATTATTCAACAAGGGAAAAGCATTTGAGGAGTTGGAACAAAGGTGTCTGTCAACATTTGTTTGGCTTGTTCAACTGAAACCAGCTGCTGGCTATACAGAACATTAAGGATGTTTATGTCCAACAACTTTGATTTCTTTTTCATTGTTGTCGTTGTTTTTTATTATTATGTTGTTGTTGGTGGTGGTGCCGTTTGTCTCTTTATCCCTTGCAAAAACCTACTGCCATATCAAAGTTTCAACTTATTATTTTCAATTTTCAATTCGAAATCTTCACCACCAGATGGCGACAGAAGCCCGCAGGCTCAGCCGGCTGCTGTCCAAGGTGCTGAAGGAAAAGTCTAACATGGTATCAACTGTTTGCTGAACAAATACACACAAAACTAATTTTAACTGTGGGGAATTTATTGAATGTAGCCCTATAAATAATTAGTGTTCCCCAGTGGTGGAAAGTAACTATACATATACTACAGGTATAATGAGCCTACATTTACTGAAGTAGTCTACTGTACTTTTCTCACAATATTTCATTTAAATACCTAGGCACAGAGGTCAAGGTATGATAAAAATATATAATTATAAAAAATTTCTCACCCATTAATCATCTGACCACCCTGCGATTTATCATGTGACCCTTTGGTAGGGCCCGACCCTGATTGTATATAAAGAAGTTAAAGTTAGCTTCTGATGGAAATTTAGAGGTCCATGGTTATGGAATTAATTGAATATTGACCTTATCTTTTTTAACAGCTTTTAGGACACAGTTAAAACTATTTCTTATTTCCTGATGAACCTTATCGCAGGATGCTTCTGTTGTTGGTAGCTACATTTCTACCTGATCTAGGTTTCTGTTCAGTTTTTTCTTTCTTTATTTACTTTTTTGTGCTTTCTTTTGTGTTTTTGTGTATATAGATATTGTTTTTGCTTTGTGTTGTTTGTTTTGTTTTGTTTATGATGAGTAATAATGCCAGTTTAAATAAGTGGTCTTATTTCCTTTCCTGCACTGCAATTAACCAGTGAATATATTTGTATCCTCTTTATTGTGCAAATAAAGTAAACTAAAGTAAGTAAAATTAGCTGCACCTCGACAAGCTATAACAGCAAAACACCACTTATACATTGATGCATCAGTATTATATACACAATATATCTAATAATGTCATAAATAATAAAATATCAGGCACAGGGGACATTTTCTGCAGAACAGGTCTTTTTCCTTTGAAACTATACATTTAGCTGATGAGCTATGAGTCTCCCTCTGGAGGTCAGATGAGCACACTGTGTTTAGTGTTTTAAAACATAGTTATACTTGAAGGCATTTTATTGATGCTTTCTTGCCCTGCTTTGTTCTTATCCTGTAACTGTTCTTGTTTGTCTTTCATTAAATTAGGCTATTAGACATTTTGAGGATTTTGCTAGTGCTGGACAACGATTAAAATTGCATTGTTATGCGCAAAATTGAATAATGAATTCTAAAGTAGTGTATTGCGCTCTTTTAATTTAAATGTACTGCCATATACACAAAAGTGCAACAACATGTGGTTTGCAAACACTATAAATAAATAAAAATAAGGTGCTTTTACCAGCAGTATTCCCTTTATACAGCAGCAATAAAATATTTCTTGTAAATGTCTCAACTTAAACATTAATGTGATCAAATCAAATATAAAGCCAAAGCTATTTGCCACTGCCAAGGCATTACATTTTGTAGCTTGTTAAAACAAGTTAGAGTCCAGAGCCACGATCATAACACCAAAACACGCACCTTCTGAGCAACAGGTTAACATATATACAGCCAAAATCTGTTTTCTTTTTGTTTTTTTTCTGAAACATTTTTCTTTTCTTAGGGAGCAGCATATACAGTCTATGTTCAGCATCAAGTGTCCCTGTTAGAGTAAGGTGAAGTAGGCTAGGTTGACTGTAGGTCTACGTGTATTAAGAGCCAGTGAGCAATGGACGTTCAAAATAATAATAAAAACTGCGTTAACGTGTGATAAAATTATTGTCGGCGTTAATTAATTATTGCGTTAATGCGATAATAACGCGTTAAGTGCCCTAGATTTAGGCTACTGATCTTGAGATAAAACATACAATGATTAATAGAATAAAACATGATGCTTTGCTCAATTTCAAACATGAAATATTCAGATTCAGCCCAGCTGGTAGCTATCAGCTGTGTTCATTACAGCTTTTTCAAAATACGTGCCATTTCCAAGATGACTCAAGTGGTTATCTATGTCCAGATTGTGTGAGAGAAGCTTTGAATAACATTTTAATTTGAAATTAGCTTTTTTGGGGGGGGGGCATTTATAAAGAAAAAAAATAAAAGACAAATGCCATGGAGATAGCCTATGAATGTGGAAGCAAATGTCATCATATGAACACAGAAGTAATTAAGCATTTCTTCAGAAACTAAAATGAAGCTAAATAAATGCAAATTGAGACTTTTCTGTGCATTTAATTTGAAATGGTGAGCAACACAGGCTGAGGATAATGAAGACTGATGGTGAGGAGGTGGCCTTGACATCACAGGAGAAGAGAAGTGGATGAAGTTGCTATCAAGGCTCTGAAAAACATCATTTGGATCAATCTGGTTTTCACTTGAAATAGCAGGCAGTGGAATCATTATCAGCTTTTGTAGTGTGTTTCTGTTTGTGAGTTTAGATAAAAGCGTCCTTCAAGTTCAAGCAGCCATTTTACTTTGATGGATGTTTTTCTCTCCATCTTATACAAATAGTCAGAAACAAATTATACACAGTTGGTGCTTTTGAGAATTAGCTTTGCGGCCATTTTGTTCCTTGATAACACATTAGGCAATTCGTTATAAATTAGGCAATAAAGTTCTCAAATGTGGACAACAGAAGAGTCTGGAAAATTAAAATGGTTCAAGTCATGCTCAGAGAAGCATATTTTCATCTCTCTTATCTGCTGCCTTGATACAAGAAAACATAATTTGCATTTATATTAGAAAAGGATTTCTGACCCCACTGGCACCATCTGTTGCACCCGCAAATAATATCTCCAGTTTGGATGTGGGGACTTTGAATAGTGCTTAGGTGAAAAGTGGCGACTAAAGGTGATTCAAATATGAAAACATAAAAGTATCTACTGAGTAAGATAAATGTTTAACCAAACCTGTAATAGGCTATCTGCAGTTTGGAAGTGAAGTGGGCAAGTCGTCAAAGTGACGCTGTGCAGCCAACCATTTTAAAACCCACATAGTGTGATTCATTTCACTCATTTAAGTGGTGAAATATAACATTTTCAAATATACCAAAAATATATACATCTGAAATGCGAATAAGATTATTTACAGGACAATTAGGCTATATTTTCATTTGATGGATTTGCAGCCGGGAGGCACGGTGGTGCAGTGGTTAGCACTGTCGCCTCACAGCAAGAAGGCATGTTTTCCCCGTGTCTGCGTGGGTTCTCTTCGGGTGCTCCGGCTTCCTCCCACCATCCAAAGACATGCGGATTAGGTTGATTGGTGACCCTAAATTGTCCTTAGGTGTGAGTGTGAGCCTTGCCGCCTTGCGCCCGATGTCAGCTGGGATTGGCCCTGTACGCAGGATAAGCGGTTGACGATGGATGGATTTGCAGCCACAAAATATGACCACTTTGTGTATTCTTGGACATTTAGTGTGCATATGTACCAATAAATTCTGAATTAAATACATTTGTCACTCCTTTAACAATCTTATTGCTACTTCATGTGGAAATCACATTCACTATACACAGTTTTTCACCCTCACGCCGACAGCATTTAGCCTGTAACGCGTAAAATGACGCACGCAACAGCAGGAAGGAATTAAGTTTATAAGGTCGGACACCACGACACATCAGACTCCCGCGCTGAAAACCATTGTCCTCTCCCTGTGGGTTGCTATGTCTCTGGAGGAGTCTTTCGTTATAACCCCAGAGGACAGTAGGGTTTTGGTCCTGAATGTTTCCAGAGCGATTTGGGACTCCACAGGAGAGCCGCACCAGTACAACGTCTGGCTCCCTGGAATCGGAATCGCCGCCATCTACGGAGTTATCATTATCGTTGGTCTCGTGGGAAATGTCACTTTAATGAAGACATGTCTGTCGGTGAAGTCCATGCGGACAGTGCCAAACTTGTTCCTATCCAGTCTGGCTCTGGGGGACCTGCTGCTGCTGGTGACCTGCGCCCCAGTGGACGCCAGCCGCTACCTGGTGGACGAGTGGCTCTTCGGCCGCGTTGGATGCAAACTGATCCCGTTCATCCAGCTCACCTCGGTGGGAGTCTCCGTGTTCACCCTCACTGCTCTCTCCGCTGACCGGTACTACTCTGGGCATGCTTATTAAAGGGTTAATAACTTCTCACTTTCTTGATTCCTTACAGATTAGGTTTCTTCAGATTAAATACACCTGCACACGTAGAGCTACAGAGACTCTGATGCGATACGATGCTTATTGCAGTGTGTGAATACCATGTTTTGTTTATGCATGTCTGCCGCATCAAAGTCTGGCATCTTTTTATACACATTGCCCAGAATTCCCACTCTCACCACCATGCACTAAAAAGAAAGTCCCTTAAAGTTTTTAAGCATTTGGATTTTTTTGTTTTAATTATAAAGTTGGCTGTATTCGTTATATTTAAAGCACATTTGAATTAAATTGAGATTATGGTGGAAATCAATGACTTGCTTATAAATTCAAATGACCAAACTCTAACCAAAGTAACTATTTTCCCCTAATTATAGATTATCTTAGTTCTTTAAGGAAACTTCTGAAAATCATTAAATTATTACAGTAAAATAAAGCTTTAGGTACTGTTTTATTCTTCAGCATTAAGTCTAAATATGGTTTTAAAGCCCCCACAATGCTACCACAAATAAAAGACCTAATAATGTAATTAGACACACTCAATATTTGAAATTATTGAGTCTAAAAATAGTGGAATTATCCTAAAGAATATTCAACATGTGTGAGTTTTTACAATATGTCTGCAACCAATGATAAGGGGTCGCAAATATGTTCAGCAGTCACAAGCCAAAATGATCTGAGTCCCCTGACATAATATATAAAGAGATGATTTGATTGAACAAATAACTCCACAGATCCTACAGGTTCTGATGCTGATCTGTGATGAAACAACCTGAAACAGAATACATATTAGGGTTATGATAGACAGAGAAGGGTTCAGATTCAGCTTTTTGTAGAGAAAAGCTGTCTGAAAATGTGTTGGGAGATGACAAATGCTCTTTTGTTTTCAGCAGCTTTGATCTTTGGACATTTCTGAGCTTCTGGGAGCAAAAGAACATTTAATGCCAGTTGTTAAGATTTACAAACTGTCTCTTTGATCTGTAACTCATCAAATCCAGGAGCTAATATTATCTACTGTGGCTGTTTAGTCTCATTCCTGTTGCCTTTAATTACGTGCAGTGTAATTGAATTCTCTCTGCTAATCTACAGTGAGATAGCTATCAAAGCTTTCTTTGATTAGAAGAAGAAATTGAGTCTCCTTCTGTAGGAAATGGTGGAGTGCCATATTGAAATAAGTGATGAGACAAAATAACATATTTCTACCGTTGTTTTTGATTAGATGCATAATGAAAAAGCTTGACGAGTTCATTTTGATATGAACAGTCTCTCCAAGCAAAGACAAAAACAGTTATCATTTCAAGTTTGTCCATAGTACCTACAGACATTATAGTCTGCAAATTACTGTGAATTGTTTAGTGCAAACAGGAGATCAGTAAAATATTTATTGGGTACCTATATGTTGTTGCTTTGAGGCAGAAAATTCCAACTGTCCTTAATAGTTAGCTTCAACACTGACATTGTGTTAAAGAGGACAAATGTGTCTACATTTTGGTGTATAAATTGTGCATGAGAAGTGAAAGTTGTGGACATTACAAGGACTGAAGTCAGACATTTTTTAACATTACAGGTCATGTGACCCTTAAAGCAGCGCAATACACATCCATTATAAACCCAGAAAAAGAATGAAAAAGCATAGAAATTGGACTGTGATCATTAAAAAATTGCACAAAATATCAAAATCCTGAATACCATGGTTCAAAGTCTTGTGACCTGTTTAAAGTTGAAATTAAGTCTGTAGCTGAAAATATGCATAAGTAGCAGAACTTCATATTGGAGTGGGTTTGAAGATAATTTAATGTATATTCTCATTCACTTTCATTATACTTTTTTGAATGGTTTCTGTAGCTGAAAGTATGCAGAAGGAGTTGTTGACCAAAAAATGTCCGGTAGAAGTCAGGATAATAAAGATTTTATGAACAATAGTGTCAATCAGCATAAATTTCTCTTCTCCATTCAGGTACAAAGCTATAGTAAAACCGCTGAACATTGACAGGTCCAGCGCTAGACTCAGCATCTGTTTACGAGTGGGGGTGATCTGGCTGCTCTCTGTGACTCTGGCGATTCCTGAAGCCGTCTTCTCCGACCTGCACACCTTCACCACCAGCCATACCAATGAAACATTTGTGACCTGTGCGCCCTACCCCCACGCTGGGGAACTGCACCCAAAAATCCACTCCACTGCCTCCTTCCTCATCTTCTACATCATACCACTCTTCATCATATGTATCTACTACTGCTTCATCGCTCGCAGTCTGGTCAGGAGCTCTGTGGACATCCCTGCTGAAGGACACCTGCACCTCCAGAGACAGGTCTGAGAGCGAGGTCCTCTGCTTATGTGTCTTATTTCCAAAGTGGTCTTCATATTTTGCATTTATTCAATTAAAGGAACAAATGAACAAAATCATTATGTTCTACAAACACATTAATAGATTTGTTTGACCTTTTGGCAAACACCCTTATTCGCTTTCTTGTCGAGAGTTAGATGAGAAGATTGATGTTGGTACTGTAAATATGAAGCTCCAGGCAGCAACCTGTTAGCTTAGTTTAGCACAAATACTGGAAACAGGCCAAGAACTCACCTTGATTGATCCAAAAGTATCTAAATCCACTCACTAGAATATCTGAAGCTCACTTATTAAGATTTATCTTGTTTGTTTGATCAGTAGCCTACAAAACCAAAGCGTAGAGCTACAAGTCACTATCTTTTTGCCAGTTTTGGGCTGGGCTATATGAATGTCTGCTTTCATGATAATAGGTCCAATAGTGACAGACCAATTGCATGGGGTCCAATTCCTGGAGCCTTGCTGCTACTGTGGTTAAAGATAAAAACAACAAATACCTACAAATAAATGACAACAAGGACAAAGATGTCAGTTACAACATTCATATATATTATACCATACATATCATATACTTAACATAATTTCCCAGCTTTGTTTGTTGTGTGAAACTGATTCTTCTCTCTCTCGTGTCAGATCAAGTCCAGAAAACGACTGGCCAAAACTGTGCTGGTGTTTGTCGGCTTGTTTGCTGTCTGTTGGCTGCCCAGTCATGTGATCTACCTGTACCGCTCCTATCACTACGACCAGGTTGACACATCGCTGGGCCACTTCCTCGCAAGTGTGTGTGCTCGCATTTTGGCCTTCACCAACTCCTGTGTGAACCCATTTGCCCTCTACCTGATGAGCAAAAGCTTCAGCAAACACTTCAACAAGCAGCTCCTGTGCTGCACTTCTCCCAGACGGTTGTACAGTCAGAACAGTGGGAGTACAAACATAACCACGGTCTGAAAGCACGTGTGTTTCCATGAACTTCAAACCCCCGGACTGGAGTCATGTCGATCGTCTTTGATCACACTGATTTTAGCAGACTTCAATTTGATGAATGGACACGGTTACAATCATTCATCCTTGTTGTCAAACAATTTCACTCCTGCAATTTAATTATCACCTGTCATTAACCTTTTTCTAATACCAAAAACTAATTTTCAATTTTCAAAAAAATTTTAAATCTGTGCTATAGCTATCAACGATCTATCAGTTTGGGTCATGGAAATACAAAGTGATACAGGAAGTCTGAGGGTTCTGTCAGAAACATTTCATCTCTGATTTAAAACAATGTTGGTTGAAAGACAAATGCAATCCCTGCAGATGTAAATTATCTCGTCGAAAACACTGTTACAAAATATATTTTCTCACTGCTTGAGATGGATATATGGATGTACATATTCTCTGGCAAATAAATGTTATAGAGGAAAAACATCCTGATAATTGTTAAGTTTTCTCTGTATTGTCTGTTTTGGTGTTCAACCCAAAGCCGTGTAGATGTTAAATGGAACAGAAACATGCATCACTTATGTTTTAAATAACTGAAAAAAGATGTAATTGATCAACTGTCCTTTGCAGTGGAAACCATGCATGAAAGGTTAGACATCTGATTTATTGTGCATGTTTCTATCTTCGCTTATCGGCTGAAGATAGAGCAGAAGGTCCCTCTGACATTTGAGGGTTTAATGACTGTAAAATATTCAAACAGAACCAACTAACTTCTGCTATTCTTTATACTACAACATTTTCAGTGGCCACATAAAGTTTTTTGTCAAAAGTTGGTTGAATTGTCAAATGTCCGATAATTGTGCACATAGAGATGTTTCTGTTAAATTGTATGTGTCAGTTAATGGTGTGTTGGTTGGCTCTGCATACAATATGTGTCAATTTAGCTATTTGTTAATTTTTAATGATGTATTTAATTTTGTTTAATGTTGATGTGCAACATAGGGCTGCAAATAACATTTGTTTTGCAATATTTATTCATTATTTTTTATGAATAATCGATTGATTAGTCTAAAAACTGTCAGGAAACACAATCATGATTTCCCAGAGCATCTTCAAATGCCTTGTTTTGTTTCACCAACAGTCCAAAACCCAAAGATATTTCATTCATAGTGATAATGACAGATAAAACAAAGAATATTCTGACATTTTTAAAAGCAAGAACTGTAATATTGATTCTAGCAGTGTGGCTCTGTGGACGGTAATCTCGGTTGGTCCACCACTTTGGTCCAGACTGACATATCTCAACAGCTACTGGATGGACAGCCACGCAATTTACAGATATTCATGATCTTACTTTTCATAAATGTCTAAACTAATGACATTCCCATCAGCTACAACAACTCTTCTACAGATGTTATCATGCTAAATTAAGATTGTGAACATTGGTTAATTATTAACATTATTGGTTAATATTTATTATTTAATATTAATTTGTGTTAGTTAGTGTCTTCTTCACCATTAATATGGTCTGACAACATCTGGATGTTTCTATACAAATAAACTTTATTTGATATGTATAACCCCCTCTGGTCACCATTTTTATGAGGTTTTGTAGTGGTCAACTCACAAAATTGTGAATTGATTAATCTCATCCAAGAATCTTAATCTAATGTGCACTCTGTGTACATTAGGGTGTTTTATACAAGATGGACATTCTACTCTAAGTGGTATTTTTTCAAAGCATGTAACCACTGAATCTGGGCACCAACAGCAGGAAATTCATCAACATAATCACATACAAATACAATATATATCGCTCTTTCAGAACCTTTGCTGAAGGCTGAGGCTCTTCTTTGCTGTTTTTGAGTAAAGACGTGTCAACTTAAATCAGCTCAAACACAGTTGTTCAGGTCTCTGTGGAGGTGACCTTTTGAATTAATTCCCCTTCAGCAACACTGGCTAGAAAACTCCATCCTTCAGTTCTTCAGGTGCTTTTCTCTTTCTGCTGTTTTCAACATTTGTTTTGTTTTTTTACTTTGCCTTATCCTTGTGCGTCAGATTTGACAATGCTAGATGGGCATATTCCAAACCTATTTTGTTTGTTTTATACCTAATATAAGTCCATCAAACTGGTTTGAGTCAACAGATATGGAAATTATTCCTGGCAAAAAATCAGGGCAGGAGAGCGGATCCTCTGGTAACTTGATTTTATTGTAGGAATTATACTGGACACACATACTGTATAAAGATGAGTATGTTTGTGGTCTACAAAAAAGAGAGGGTTATATGTTCCCCAGCACAAAACCCTCTTTATATGACACATTAAGGAGACCTTATGAAGGGTTTAATGTTCTCAGCAAAGGTCAAATGTTTAGTTTTGTTTCCCTGGGTCCTTACTGATGTTTTCTCCTTGAAACCTCAAATTTTTATTATGTACTCGTTAAACAAAATGGATGCAGCTTAACCAGAGGTACCTTTGTTTTTTACTCCACTTATTTTTCTGTCAAATTCTGGTGCCTACATTACCCACAATGCAACTCGATTGCCAACAGTTGTGTCAGAGATTCAGGCGTTATGTTATGCTAGTAGCGGCTAATGTTGCCTCAAGCTGCTAGTCCCAAGCAGAGATGATGAGCGTACTACAGAAGTCACTAACTCAAGTGACATCACTTGAGGCAAGGCATCAGATTTTGAGCAGCACCCTCTGGAGTCACAAAAGGCATATCTGTTCATATTTACAGTAGAACCCCTTGTAAACAGACTTTGATGTGTCAAATTGGTGGAGTTAAAAACATCTTGAAATTAATGTAAAATCCATAGACGCGAAATGGAAATCACTGGATTAAAACAGTAAAAATACAAAATCTGATGCAGTGTAGCCGCTGCAATATGAACAGAACTTTTATAGGAACTTGGAACCCATATTTGTATCCAACATATTTCCTTTGAGCAATAGGTAAATAGTGTCTGGTATAGTTAAAAAAATAAAAACTGTATAACTGTTATAAAAACAGATGGCTGACAAAGCTTGGTCCCGTTCTTTGAATGTGGATGCCTTTCTTTCACTTGCTTTCTTTGTCAGTGATGAGGCACAAGTTTGAAGGACAAATCAGTACGTGGCAAACAGAGAGCCACACAAACAAGGCAGAGATGTCTCACTGGTAGAGAAGGAAGTCCTTGATACTGTGAGGAAGGAAGAGGCTGGGGGCTCTGTGAAGACGACTCCTTCCCAGACTTCGGCGAACACGTAACCGACAGAGATTAGACAAAGAGCAGGGACCTGGGTAGGCAGGAGACATAGAGGGTAGAGATAAATAAATTGAGTTTTGGGTGTTTGTGTAACACGTGTGGATCTTAGTGTCCACAACAAACCTCTTTTCTGCAGTGTAATTCGAACTGCGCTGTTTGGCGACGACAGATCCAGAGGAGTCTTTCCCTCTGCATTCCTACAACACTCATCAGCCCCAAAGTCCAGCAGAAGATCCACTACGTTGGCTCCTCCACCTCGAACTGCAGCATGTAAAGGACTGTCATGCCCACACCCTATTCGAACATCTGCTCCTACATGTGCACACAAACATGAAATGGTTAAACACCTGTCACAAGTAAACACTTTCAGAGCAGCCCCATGATGTGTTTTAGACCATAAACACTAAAATCATCCACATGTCCTCACAGATGGTTTGTTCCAGCACTCTGTGGTTGGAATTACTAGGAAACTATACGGAGTGAAAATTGGTGATTAATCAAAAACTGTAAAGATGGGAACTTAGAGCACAGCTATGAATAACATTAAATAAATTGCACCAGAGTCTGACATTTCTGCAAATTAGACCGACATGGCCAGGATTGCTATAAAAATAATGTGCTGCTATGAGACTGTTTTCTTGTTTCCATGGAGAACTAAAGGGATTAAGACAAATGGCCAGGTGTGTTCAGCTAAAAATGCCCCCTGCAGGATTTTTAAAATTATTGTAGGACTTCAGTGAATGAATATTTGCACAACTGATTATTCAGCAATTTGGACATTGTCATTTAGGGGTGTACTCACTTTTGTTGCCAGCGGGTTAGACATTAATGGCTGTGTGATGTGTTATTTTGAGGGGTCAGCAAACATCGTATACACTGTCATACAAGCTTTACACTCACTACTTTACATTATAGCAAAGTGTAATTTCTTCAGTGTTGTCACATGAAAAGATATAATCAAATATTTACAAAAATGTGAGGGGTGTACTCACTTTTGTGAGATACTGTACAACAAAAGCATCAAATTCTCACATTTGAGAAGCTGGAACCAGCAAATGTTTAAAAAAAAAGAAAAAAGAAACATGTTATGTCACATCTTCATTTTCTATTCATTAACTGACTAATTGTTGCAGCTCTAATGATTTTATCAACACAATTCATGAATTTGTGGGCTACATAATTTTAAAAATATAAAATTGTCAGTCTTCCTACTTTGGATTATTCCTCTTGTATTCTATCCCTTAACATATGGTATTTTGGGGCACATGAATAATTTTGTTGTTTGTTGTTCTTATTACATACTGGGGATGTTACAGTATGGAAATGACCCATCTCTCAAAACCTCAATGTGCAACAAGAATTATAAGTAGCCCATCTGTATTTGGATTTGTATTTTCTTTAGTGAGAAGGGGTTCTTGTTGAAATTTGGGTGTCCACATGTTGTAGGCAAGGTAACAAAAAAATCACTTGTTTAGAAACTTCTTAATGTCCTGTGTTATCTTGTGCCTAATTTTTTGTTCTCATGGATGTTTTATTTGACATGTGTAAAACACTAAGACTCTAAGATAAGGCTTAGATGTTTAAGTATTCCATTCTATACATTTCTGTGACATGTTTTTTCCTGACTGTTTGTGACACTGTAGAGTTTGAAGATTACACTACCTGAGTGTAGCAGCACCCATACACAGGCTGCAGCCCCAGCCAAGCAGGCAGAATACAGTGGCGTCCCCACCACTGGCAGCTCCATGTCGACATGAGCTCCATACGATAGCAGCAGCTCCAGACACTCTCTGTGACCTGATGGAGAAACAATACATTGTAACAATCTTTGCACTGATAGAAAGCGCCTTTTAACTCATTCATGCTTGCACACACATTTCTTAGAGGCCTCGTGGATAGGGGATGCCAGTTGGTTGGGGGTGTGGGTGGAGGCACCGTGCTGCAAGATGAGCCTGACACAAGCAACACTGCCACTGGTGCAGGAGTTGAAGAGAGGTGTGGCGCCATCTGTTGATACTGCCTCTACCTGTGGGAGAATATGAAAGGAAAGGTAATGATGCTATGGCCAAAAGAGCTGCACATTCCTTCACTAACTTTTTAATTTATTCATCAGGGACAACACACAGACAGATCAACATTATACATCAAGAAAAGCCACAAAAGGCTTTATATTCTTTCACATATGCAGCGAAGATCCCCTTGAAATCTCTCAAATCAGTTGGAGTGATGCTCAGAATGAAAAGGATTAACTTTTTCCTTACTACAACAGCTTGTGTGTACCTGCTTGTGGATGGAATAAGACCAGTGAGTATTTTAAAAACTAATGCATTATCTACATATTTTACCAAATTTTCCCAACTTCATATTTTAATAAAATGTCACAAAGACCTTCACAGCTTGTTTGTATACTATCTCAACAGGCTTAAGGATGGTTTTACATGTCTTAGACCAACTAGTCAAGCAACATGTAAAAGGTGGGAGAATTGTTGAATTCATGAATAATTATTCTGCTTCCGTAGTCAAATTGTTTCTGATAAATCTAAAGTTGGCGAAGTTATATTTTACTTTACTTTCTTTACTGTTTTTTTTAAAGCTGTACATTTTTATAACTATGATTCCCAAAAATATTAACAACCTGAATTTTCTCTCCCTGGACAAACCCCTCAGGTTTGATTACCACATCTGTGCATTTTTTAATGAACACTGAAAACAGACTATGTTCTTACATTTGCACCATTGTCCAGCAGGAACTTGGCACAAGCAGAATGGCCGCCAAGGCAAGCTTCATGTAGAGGAGAGACTCTGTCCATGCTGAGTGTGTCTACATGGAAACCCTGCAGGGGAGAGGATAAAAATATCAGATACAGCCATGTACATGCTGTGAATTCTGTGTATTTGGTGTATAAATATGAAAAGAAGACACATATTAAGTATACCTGGGCAATAAGTCTTCTAAGGTGTAGCAGTCTGCCATGGTAGGCGGCTTCATGGAGGGGAGATCTGTCCGACAAGGAGTCTGAAACACAGGGAAGAAGATCAGGAAGGTCTCCACATTCAGAAAACACACAGATACATTCAACTGACCTTGCACTCTGTCCATTGTAATGTTAAGATGACCTCATCTAAAAAAACATGTTTATCTTGTTCTTCAGGGTCATCCCAAGCCTCAACACCAAACTGAACACTGAACAATACAACCCAGGGTTTTTGTTCCTACAGAGCCCAGTAAACAATCATTCCAATCCAACATTTTCAACCAATCTGTAATCCTGACTGCAGAAATGTAACTTTCAACATGCAATCCAGTTGTAGGACTCTTTCATATCTCTCATAAAAACAACAGAATTAGCTGAATGGGCCAAAAAGACAAGGCAAAAACTTACCGGCCATCAGTGAGTTGCATGCCAACCCCCTGTAGATGTACAAGGGCCTCTGCCAAGGTTGTGAGTACAGGGAAACCTCTGTTTGAACAGCAGCCATGATGAAAATGAAGCAACAGCAGACTCCTCCACGACCATCCAGGACTCAAGCTCGCCCAGTGGGATACACAAACCTGAAGTCAGCCTTCCTCCCCCTCTTATCTGGGTCCTTGGCCACCTCCCCCACATTGCCACTTCCCACCCACCCTTGTCCCAGTCCGTGAATATAGTCTACAGTATGTGCATAACAATGGCTGTTAGGATGGGCCTGTATTGACGACATACCTTGAAAAAGCACTTGTGCATGCAAACAGATGTTTCACAAGTTTCACACTGCAGATATTCAGTTGAAACAAGTTTACTGTATTTCATCTTCACTGTTCTTCTGTTACGACAACATATTTTCAGCTAAAGGCACAGAATATGTTACTATCAAAAGTTGATTGATGGGGTGGCGATGGCACAATGGATAAGACGCCTGCCTTTGGTGTGAGACCCGGGTTCAATCCCCCACTGTGACCCGACCACCGTTATGTCCCTGAGCAAGACACTTAATCCCTAGTTGCTCCAGAGGCGTGCGACCTCTGACATGTATAGCAATTGTAAGTCGCTTTGGATAAAAGCGTCAGCTAAATGAATAAATGTCTATGACTTAAATTTTCTGTCACTACAGGATCTAAATGCAACTGATGAGTTGTAGACAGCAAAGCAAAAACACAGCTCCTTATATATCTTGAAAAATAATCTCTACATGTAGAAACATCTACTGATCTCTTTAGACATTACACATAATTTTCCATGTTTTCTCTACATGATCTCAAATAACAAGATGATATAAATGTTCAGCCGCCAATCACGACACTAGCTAGCCTTGAAAATGCTGTTCCATCTCATCCATTACCTCCCGTTTCACAGCTTCTCTGTGTTTTGTCTGGCACTCTTTAATCCAGAGCCATCTCTCTTGCAAAACAAATTTTAAGAAAGTAGCGGTCTAGTGTCTTTCTAATCGAACCGTCTCATGCAACAGTCATGTCTACAATGCTGTATACAAAGTAAATGATGTGAAAACGGATGAAAAATTAGAAAGTAAGCTTTATTTTCCACAGTGGATTATCCGGGAGTCACGCCATCGTCTGAAAAAAATCCCAGGTTTCATATAAATATGCAATCTAATCGAAAATGATCAAACAAAGGGTGGTATTTATGGTATCAAAATCAGACAAAAGCAATTTGCACAGATGTACAGTTCTGTACAAACAGTGAATTTTACCGACAAAGCCATTGTTCTAAACGAGGTTTGCATCCAACTAAAAATACGTTACTGCCATTTTGTTTCCCCAGTAAGTAAGTGCACAATTAACCAGCCCCTTTACTCCTTCTGTTCAGTGCAATAGACACTGTGTATAACCAAAAAAGTGCTTTTTAAAACTCCAAGGATTGCCACAAATTCCCAGTTTCATCACTGAATATAATAAAAACTCCTTACAAGTCTTACATTAAGTGCTTTCACACAAGGGCCCTTTTGATAAGTAAATGTAAACAATGTTTGGGGTCACCATGAGCACATTCAGTAGCCATGTTTCAAATGTCAGTCGCACCTTAAAGAGGACAAGTAGCACCACGTCAGCAGCTATTAGTGAGGCAGAGGTACAGACTGATTACTGCGATGAACTTTCTGGTTACGCTGCTCGCTTCGTGTCACTTTTAGAAGGAGGTCCGGCTTTACTGCTCGGTTCCTGCCTCCACAGTCCGTGAGGGCCACTGCCGTCCACAGCGACGTCCATGACCCGATCTGGCACCAACCACTGCAGAAGCAGCACAAAGAGGAAGTCCAAAACAGCTACAAATGCAAAGATAGAGCCAGCCACAGGGCCACAGTGAGCCCTCAGTCTCCGTAAGCGTCTGTCCAGGGGAAGCACCTCCTCTCCAGCCACTCGGTCATACACCTGAAAAGGAAAAGAAGAGTTCAGCATCTATCATCCAGTGTGAAGTTCAATCAGTGGATTTGCACAGAAGAAAATAGATTACTGAGAGAAATGAGGTTACAGGGAAATAAGAAAACATGTTTACATGCTCTGTAGTAACCTCGTTATTGTATCTATGTATACATTCATCAGGTCAGTAATGAGATTGCTCTCCTACCACATATCTTATTTTGAAAGTATGTCTGTCTTATTGTAACTATTAGTGATACAAGCTGCCTTTGTGTGTGTTTGTGTTGGAGGGTGGTGGATGTTCTGCAGTGAGAACACAGTTTTTTTCTCATGGTGCAAAGGTGTCTGAATTTTACAAATAGTCAACAGGTTCATCTGTGGAAACTAACATATTTAAACTTCTACTGACTGTCATCTTGAGTTTTACTGAGAATTAAGTCAAATGTATTAAATGATTAAGGAAAAACAACCATGCATCTTTAAGTGTCATGATATTTCATTTCATCCTGCCACTCTGCTGTCACAGCGAGACTTTCCCTGTTTGAGGTGTATTGTCATATTACTGTACATGAACACATCCTTACAATTAGAAACCTGGTTACATGTAAACATAAGCTAGACTGATTAACTAGGTCAACATATTGGCCCATATCAGCTTATTGCGGATATATTGGTATGGGTGTACAGTAAATGTCGGTTGAAAAGTAACAAGAAACAGAGTGAAAATTACATACTTTGTCCACCAGAAGAGTAAGTTGATTTTACACTAATGTCCTGCCCAGTGTGTATCATGTTCACAATAAAAATAATAAAAAAAATCTATAATGATTGTATGTTTGTTATGTGTTTATTGTAACAGTGATTTTATTAAAAATATTTTTTAAAGTCTTAAATACTAACTCAATATTGACCTCACAAATACAGTTTGGCTACAGTGAACATGATATTTTCTTTCTACATGAAAACTCTAGCTAGGGAAGTCAGGTTTCTCTAATTCCCTATTCAGACTACTTAACTGCATGGCAACACACAGCATAACCTCTCAATAACTACGCTGAACAAAAGTATAAACGCAACACTTTAGTTTTTGCCCCCATTCATGTAAAATGGTGGTCACATTTTGAGTGGCCTTTTATTGTGGCTAGCCTAATACCCATGCTGTCTGATCAGCATCTTGATATGCCACACCTGTAAGGTGGATGGATTATCTCAGCAAAGGAGAAGTGCTCACTAACACAGATTTTGACAGATTTGTGAACAATATTTGAGAGAAATAGGCCTTTTGTGTACATAGAGAAAGTCTTAGATCTTTGAGTTCAGCTCATGATGAATGGGGGCAAAAACCAAAAGTGTTGCGTTTATAATTTTGTTCAGTGTATGTAAGTCCTCACTGTTACAGCACAATTACATTTATATCCAAAAATCCAAACTAAAGCTTCAGCAATAGCCAGCTTTGGTCTGTGAAAGAATAAATGCTGAAACAACAAACAACAGAAAACGATTGAATACTTTAGCAGGTTTTGGTGTTGGTGAACCTACTTTTTCCGTCCTCTCGGCAACGTTTCTCCAGGTGTAGAGATTTTGCACAGAAGCATGGATAGAGGCAGGTGATGGGACGGACCCTGAACGCTGCCGAGCAATGACCGTCTCCAGACCAGCACACAACGACCGCACGGTAGGCTCACACAGGGTTATCAAGTCCTCAGGTAACACCTCAGGAATGCCCCCCACACGAGTACTAACCACCTGAGAAATAAAACAAAACCTGGATGCAATCATTGCATACAAATACAAAAAAGTACAACATCTGTTCTTTCAAGATTTTAAAAGTGCTTTTTCAACCATATAAAAAAGCAAATGGTCCTGCTTCACCATGACTAAAGAGTACATTAACAACTGAAAAGCAGAACTACATTTACCTCTAATGGCATTGACCATGCCCTGCATCACTGATGGTCAGACATTAGTGTGCTCTGTTGCATCTGAAAACAAACCCAGCAGGACACCGTGCTGTGTGTGTGTGTACTAACGAGCCATCAGTCTCTGGCTGTGTCAGAATCACCCACTACTCACTATATAGTGAGCTTGCCATTTTGTAGTGCTGTCCGAATGTATAGTGATAATTATTATACCCTATATAGTCCACTCAATGTATCCCAGAATGCATTTTGAAAAGTAGTGTACAACGATGGTAACTAACCAAGCCATATATACCATCATGCACTGCGCTGATAGAAAAAAATGATTGTCCGACGGCAATGACGTAATTAACGGCGCCGAAATAACGATCAGAGTAGTGTCTTAAAGTGTTGTTTTAATAATGCGAGTGAGCTCACTATATAGTGCTCTACATACAACTCCCTACATAGGGGGTAGGGAGTAGTGAATTAGAGGGGATTTCAGACACAGCCTCTGTGTTGCTTCAAATGCTTTAAAGACCTGGGTTGAATGCTCAAAAAGCACATTTCAGACATGGAATATGTAACATCGCTGGGGTCTGTGATGGCTTTTCATCATTCTGTTTACGCTAATGTTCCTTAGCAGACACGACAGGACATTTGCTATTATATATTTGGCAAGAGAGAGAGGGAAGCAGTTAAAGAGAGAGATGCAGTTAAAAATGTTAGAACAGCAAGGAAGAAGACTGATTTTTGTTCTTTCACAGACTAAACATCACTGATGACCATTGCTCTGGTTGCACAGCAAGGTGAAAGATTAGTCTGATCTGATATGTGAATCTGCTTAACAACTTAAAATGGGCTCTTATAATGTGTCTCCCAGTTTATTCAACTGATTTTGTGCATAAGAGATGAAAAAATACATTTTATTACAGTGATCTTGGAGGGCAGGAACTTTACTTTCTTTCTCTGTATGTTTTTCTTTCTTGTGCTGCTGCTGCCAGCTTTAAGTTAATCTGAAGGCATTCCATTCAGACTTGTGCCATGTCAAAAGTGACATGGAAATGTTATTTTATTTGACTTAGGGTGACTCAGGGTGCATTTTGCACTCACCACCTTTGTTGAAAAGAGCTGGGAAAGGCGGAGTCCAGCTAAACAAATACATGGGGGCAAACAGCCCGAGCGTCCTAAATCTTTCCAAATAAACTCTTTGATTTACATAAACTGTTTCAAATGCCTGTCTCCAAAAGTAAACACAGAAATTAGCCTCCTGGATTAGTTTTTGTGTGTAGCTAACCACACAGGGATCCACTAGAGGGACAACTTGCTGGCTAATTCTCAGTAGACAGGCCACTGT